CTGGTGACTTCAACCATGACCTTGACCGTCTGAATACCATCACCACACTTGAGCGCTTGGGGTTCCGTGACATCCAAGACATCCATGCTGAGCGTACTGGCCAACTTCCTGTTGCCACTTGCCGTGGGAAAACGAGGCGGGATTATCTCTTTCTCTCACGCGGAATGGCCCGGCTGCTTGTTTCTTGCCAAGTGGATGATGAGTCTCTTTCCGACCATTCCTACCTCATTGGCAACTTCGAGGGCTCTTTGGATTTGCTTGATCGGTTTGTCTGGCCTGTCCCTGACCCAATGGACGGGGAAGCTGCCTCAGATCAGCAACCTGTCACTGACAACTTGTTCTTGCCTGATTGTCACTTGGACCAAGATTATGAAACCTTTTGGCGAAAGGTTGAAGCTCACAACAACGATGCCCGCCGGCAGAAATGCAAGCCCCTTGTCCGAGCCATGCAAGGCCGTGGGATCCAACGCAAGCCGCAATTGCGCCACGGCATGTTGGCCCCCACCAAGACTAGTCGCCCAGGTGACCGACAGCCCGCCTTCCTTGGCTCTTGTCTTCAGCACGCCCAATGGCTCAAGCAGCTGCGAAGGCTCCAATCGTTTCTGCGGTTAGTTCGTGCCCCTGTCCTCACTGCTGCCCATCGTGCTCATCTCTTTGGACTTTGGACTTCCATCCGACGTGCTCCTGGATTTCCCCCGTCTTTTCCGCAGTGGTGGACTCAGCGTGCTGCGGCCCTTGGTGATCCGACTTGCGTACCGGTTGAGCCCCCTGATGCAGCCCTGGCTGAGCTTCTCTATTCAGGTTTCCTGCTGGACTTTGAGCAGCTTGAGGCTACCTTGATCTCTGCTCGTTCCCATGCCAACCGCCTTGCCAAGGCATCAGATGTTCATGCCATGTACCGCACGGTCCAACGTGACGCTCCTGTTCAAGTTGATTCGTTGGTTGGTGTTCTGGCGGCCAAAGTCCTTGAGGTCGACACTGATGAGTGTGCTTTGATCACCGATTTTGCTCGCTCTTGGAACTTAATCTCCCATTATGCACTCCTCGGGTCCTCTTTCCATCATCCACGCTGAACAAGACAAAATTTGGGTTGATTCTTGCGCTGGTGTCCATCCAGGTGACGAAGTGTCCCAGACCTCCTTCACTTCTGATCTGTGTGACCTCTTCCAAGCGTTTGAGTCCTTTTGGTCGAGTTTGTGGAACAAACATGCTTCTGTGCCGGACTCACAATGGGATGATATCATCGGTTTTGCGGCCACCCAGCTCCGTCCCATGGCGCCATCACAACCTGCCTTCACGACCTGTTCACGACCAACTCTGTCCGTCGTTGTCTGTTGCGCAAAACGGTCCAGTCCGCCACTGGACTTGATGGAGTGGGTCATGCTGATTTGTTGGCCCTTTCGGACACTGATTTGGGTTTGCTTCTCCGGACTTTTGATCTTGCGGGCCGTTTTGGCACTTGGCCCCAGCAGACCTTGAATGGGTACGTTCGATCACTTGCCAAAAACTCTGACCCACAGGGCGTCGGTCACTTTCGACCAATCACTGTTTTCTCGGCCTGGTATCGCACTTGGAGTTCTGTTGCTGCACGTCATTGGTTGGCTCAGCTGTCTGCGGTTGTGGATCCTTTCCTTTGTGGGAATGCAGTTGGTTGCAGTGGCGGTTTGTTTTGGAACAAGTTGAAGCCGCCCACCGTGACAACGTTCCAATCTGCGGCTTTTCGGCAGACATCGTCAAAGCTTTCAATGTGTTGCCACGTCGTCCTGCTTTTGCTGCCGCCAAATTGCTGGGAATCGCTCAACCCACCTTGGTTGCTTTGGCTGGAGCATTAAGTGGATTCAAACGGCACTTTGTCATCCGTGGCTCATACTCGCCTGGAGTGGACTCCGGCAACGGTTTCCCAGAAGGTTGTGCTTATATGTCTTGTGTGTCTATGATGATCCTCACCCAGCTCTTCCATCGTTGGCTTTCCTGCTGCAATGCTTTGTTTCGGCCTGTGTCATACGTGCACCACTAGGCTATCATTCTTCACAATGTCAACCACATACGACAAGCAACTGATGCCGTTGATCGCTTTGCTGCTTTGCTCCAAATCCAGCTTGATGCCCAAAAAAGCTTCACCTGGTGCACCCATCCAGAGGGCCGCAAAGAGCTCCGCAACCAGGGTTACAGTGTTCTGCTTGGGACTCGTGAGCTTGGGGCCCACGTTGTCTATACGAAACAGTTGGCCAACAAAACAACGATCGAACGCATCCGGGGCCTCTCTGGCCCTTTGGGCCAAGCTCTCGTCGACATGGTGCACATTCCGCCCTGGTTACTCGAGTTGCGTGGCCGCGTGCATTTCATGCCGTCTCTGCTGTCGTTGTGGGCAAGAAACATTTTGCAGGTTTACGTACTCAGCTCATGCAAGCTCTGCACTTACAAAAACCAGGTGCCAATTCGGTCTTGCAATGTGGCTTAGAGTCCCTGGACACTGTGACCCTTTGCTTTTTGCAGCTTTGGAAACCTTCCGTGGTGCTCGTGCATTGGGTGTTGACTTTTGTGTTGTCCAGGCTCTCAATGCTGGTCCCTTCGGTGATGCTGACCCCCAAGATCTTTTGCCAAAGATTGCATCAAGTTGGCTTTGAGCGTGGACCCAATGGGATCGTCCATGACCAAATTGGGGAGTTCCGTGTCTTGCTGTGTCCTTTCGGGGAGCTTCGCTTTCGATTGCAACTGGCTTGGGTGTCCATCATGGCGGTCCATGTGCAGCATCGTCCTTCTTTCCGTGGCTTTCGGTTGGTCGATGTCGTTCATACTCGTGCTGCCTATTTGAAGTTTGACCCTTTTGAAGGAGTGCTGCGGAAGCATCGGCCACACTCACCAATGAGCATGCCCAATATTGGTCCCAAGATCGCAGCTCTTTATGTGCCAAATGCTCCGCCTTGGACTCCATTTATCACCGGATGTGGGAATGTCCTGCCACGCAAGCCTTGCGTGACCAGCTGCCTGTGGACTTCCTTTGCACTGTCGACTCACTGCCGCCTGTCTTGCGAGAGCATGGTTGGACTGTTCGTCCCAGTCTTGCCGATGCTTGGCTCAAATATCTCGATCGCATCCCTGGCCAAGTTCAGTTTCCTCCACTGTCATGGTTGGCCCCCATCCTGGACGTGTTCACTGATGGGTCTTGCATGTCTGTATCCTGCGGTCAGCGACCTCCGCATGGCGTCCTGGTCGGTCATCTTGGCGCGTCCATATGCCCTGGACTTTGGCCCCCAAGACTTCTTTGCTGTGGCAGCCCAACCTCTTGCTGGCTTGCTTCAATCGGCATATCGTGCTGAGTTGTTTGCTATTGTGACAGCCATGCGCTTTGCTTTGGTTCATCGGCGACCCCTTCGTATTTGGACTGATCGACTGCCAGAGTGCAATTGATGCCGCTCTCATGTCCGTGATGGTGTCCCTTAATGCCAAACACTGCGATCTTCTTCGGTCCATGCAGCAGCTTGCCCTCGAAATCGGTGTTGGATGTGTTGACGCATTGAAGGTCCCTGCGCACACGTCCCTGCAGGCCTGTAACAATGACCTGGAGCGCTGGTTGATCACCGGAAATGACCTCGCCGACAAAGCCGCCAAGTCGGCCAACGCGGCTAGGCCGGCAGAAGTTTGGACTCTTTGGGATCACATGGCCGAACAACTTTGTACCCAGCGTGCGCAAGCAGACCTGATTCGAGCACATATCGTCGCTGTTGCAAAATTGTGGCAGGACGTCCCTATAATGCAGCCAAGAGCCAGCACCCACTCGTGTCCCGGCCGCTTCGTGTCAGTCGCCTCCAGCCCACTATAGGTCTTCACCCTGCCTGAGCCTTTGGTCCTGGTCGGTCCTACGTTCCGTCGCAGTTTCGGTCTGGACTTGTTCACCAAAGTTGCCAGATGGATTTCATGCATCCGTGCGGTAGATTCCGAGTTGCACTGGATATCGTTTCACCATTTATTCATCAGTTTCCAAAAAAGGGAGGGTCCCGTTCACATTTCCAAGTTTCAAGGTGTTTGGAAAGTTGAAACTGGTGAATTGGCCAATTTGGCCAACCACGTTCGACTTGGCGTACGCGTCACGCATTTCCGGCTGATGCTCCAGCAGTTTGTGCGTGACTGTGCCGCCCGATTTGTCACTGCCACGTTGAAACCTGATTCTCAATGGGTTAGCTGTTTCAAGGGAAGCTTAGCTTTTGGGATTACTCAGGAGGAGTATGATTTCATTGAGGGGTTTCTGGCGGCACAGCTCAAGACGCCGGCAATAGGATCAGGGAAATCCCTGGACATGATCCGATTCATCTAGGCCACCAGTGCCCGCTAGTTCTGCGCGACCCAGGCTAGCAGCGGTGTGCCGGGAGGAAAAAACATTTTTTATTTTCCATTTCATACATGGGATGTCATCCTTACCATTGACGAACTCCATCATTTTTCATGATGGTTATTGCACCACCAACCAGATTGTCACATTTCAACCATCATTAACCATCATTAACCATCATCATAGCCATTTATATAAACAATTTTATATAAACCATATATTAACAGTATATTAACCATAGTGAAGTAACCAACCAGATTGTCATATTATTTTTCCATTAAATACAACCACCAATCGACTACCAGTGTTTTTAGTCGCCCATGAGGCGGTGCCCCAGTTCGGAATCGCAAAAAGTTTGCGTTGTTTTTTTCCCTGTCAAAATGTCTGCAACTGGGTGAACGGATGGGGTTATGGTGTTAACTTACGACAGTATAGTTAGATTTGTGTGTCTCAACCAACACACTCAACTGGACTTGACATTGTGACCATGCCCGCACATAATTGTCCCACTATATCAATGTTTATTGCTGAAATCACCATTTCCCCCCGTTTTAAACCTCACCATTGTAGCTGCTCAACCTCAATGTTCATCGGTTTCCGTTGGTTCAACGAGGATTTTCATTGCAGCATTGGGTCAACCCACCTGGAAGGTTCGAAGTCGATGCGGGCCATGAAAGCTGCTGTCAGGCCGTGGGGCGTAGGATGTTACCAGATTGGAGGATGGTTATATTTGAATTAGATCAGTTACATGATGTTACATGTCTACTTATGTCTAGCAGAAAACGGTGCCAACGCTGGGTTCTCACAGACATGACGGTTTTTTGCTAGTAGGACTGAACCAGTTTTCTTTTAGAACAGATGATGTTGCACCGTACCTGTATGGTGGGCCAGAAAGATAGAGAGATTACAGGTGTCCTCACATTTCCTCCCGTTTTCAAGATCAGTGTCATAAAAGAATGTGGTCCAATAACTATTATGTTGGAGAGCAAATATGGACATACCCAGGAAAAACCTTACTCTTTTGTTGTTTTGTGCAATCAGTCTCTTGATCAATAATCAGTAAATCAACAGTTGGTATTAATCCTATTACCACCAATATTGTCAATAATATCATTATCATAGGATTAATACCAAACTATACCCAATAGGATTACTATATCAAACTATGATCTATAATAAGCGTAGGATTAATATCAAACTACAACCGGAGATAATCTATTGATCAAAAATCATCAATAGTTGGATATACTGATCCTATTCCCTCCAATATTGTCTGGTAAACATCTTTGAATTTACCCAATATCTTACCCACCATATATATATACATAATACATATACATGTTCTACACAACTATTCTTCAATCTCCAACATAACAGATACTATATTATAGTAGTATCAGTATATCCCCAAACATATGTTACCCTGATATGTATATATATATATATATATATACACTGTATATAGTATTTCTTTTGCCCCCATATATTTCTCCCCTGTGAAAGTTGGAGATGACGCTCCAAACCGCCGCTGGGCAGGTGGCGGATGATCGCTCCATTCTGGTGAGGCCGCTGGTGATGGCCTGGCCTAAGAAATCGGAAGTAAATATTAACATGATATATGCTACATATAAAAAAAATCGGAAGTAAATCGTACTAATATATGTGTGTAACTTGACATATACACAATCATATTCGTTTCATCTATATGTATATACTATACACATTTAATTTAGAACTATAATTTGCTTTATATCCAATAAATGGCTTTACCAAAAACGCCCAATGCCGCCATCGATCCAGGGTAGGCCCAAGTGGACACCAGTGGCGGAAGTATGTCTTCGATGCCTGCTTACCCGACGATCGTTCCCAGAAGCAGGCGTGGGACATCGGCGTCAGGGGCGTCAGGGAGCGCTGTGTGAGAAATGCCCAGTTGCAACTGGATGATGGTGATTTTTACGTGATGTATCATGATTTATCCGTGAAAAATAGTGGTTTGAGTACCAGATGACCCAGCCAAAAATTGGCTATGGATCAATACCTATACATACCATTTTTCGTGGGATGAACATCCATTTACCAGCTATTTTGATGTTCACCAGGGGGATAGGGTTTTGACACACTGCCAATTGGATTTAAGCCCAACATGAAGGTAAAGAGTGCTAGCTGCTAGCTGTTTCCATGAGATTCACCAATGTCCGGGTGGCTTTGTCTGAAGATTACCTCAACGTCCCAGAATTGATCATACCCTCTGGTTATGTCAAAATAGCTATTGACAATAGGCATTTATAGTTGATTTACCTATGACAAATTGTGATTTTCCATGGTTATGTTAGTTTACCAGAGGGTAATTTCCCATAATTTCCCACGAAACCCGTTGTTTTATGCGGCCAATGCACAATAATTGTTTTTTGGAGCCACTTCCCCATTCTATCCCCATGGTATCTATATTTTTCGTAGCCATTTCCCACCCCTGTATCTAGGGTGTTGGGAGCCAAAAAAATAGGGATCCCACAGACCTTGGTTTCTCCATGAGATTTCCATAGTATTGTTGATCAGTACAAATCATAATAAAATCGTAGTCACTCAACAAGTTCCTGCCTAATTTTTAGCGACCAAATTTGGATCTCACCATGGATGGTGGTAAGGATTGGGAAATCATTCTCGAATGGCAGAAAGTCTGGTTTGGGAAATATGCTAATTACTACTACTATGGTCTCATTCCGAACATATTCTGTAATTCCATCGTATTCCCATTTGATGGTAGTTATACCCACCAAAATTCCTGGTGAAAAAATCACAGAAAGTTGACGCTTAAAGTCCCATGTAAATCATGTAATCCCCATGTTCGGAAAGTTCCGAAAATCATCGAATCTCCAGGTGGAATCTCCATGATATCTCCTTTTTTGTTTTTTCCAGGGCAATGGGGCTAATCTCCATGTCATATCTATCTGTGATAGAGTCCCCAAGTTCACTGTTTGATTCCAGATGTTCATTAGATAATCTATGAGTCCCAAAGATGTTCATTAGATAATCTATATGATTTAGATTGATAATCTTCACTGTTTAATCTATGATAGAGAACAGATATGGATAATGGATATATTATGGATATATTAATAGATGGTTAAACAGTGAAGATTAATCCATTATTCACTGTTATATTCATATCTTCTTTGAGTCCCCCCAGCCTATCCTAGGTCTTCCAAGACAGCGGCGTGGTGTACCTGCTAGATGAGGCCCTGGCGGGCTATGCCGTCGGGGCTTCCCAGGATGGAGGTTGGAAAAAGGTGGAGAAATCTATGGGAAATCTATGGGAAATCGTTGGGAAATCATTGGTTGTCATAGGTCATAGGATGAAAGAGGAAGTCCATAATGCTAGTTAATCATATGAAAATGGAGCAAACATGGAGCAAACATGGAACAAAATGGCTATGGATCAATATCTATAGCTACCATGTTGGGGATGAACATTCTTCAACACCATCTGGTGGTATCCGACCTCACTTCATTCAACGTCAGTGATGGAATGGGGTTAGCTATCACCAAACGGCCAAACTTTTCGCGGTGAGTGAATGATTATTTATCCTGAAATTTACCCTCTGGTTATGTCAACAGTTTGCTATTGAACATGGCCCATTTAGTTCGTGGATTTACCCATTAAAAATGGTGGATCTTTCAATAGTTATGTAACAGTTTACCAGAGGGTATCTTGATGCATATATCAACATAGCATCACTTGTTGCCTCCCAAGAGTGGGTGCACATTCCCATCTGTGATCATATGGGCTGAAGAGTTTCTTAAACCAAAAAAGGGGGGTTTTACAACAGCCGAAGTGTGGCAGAATCAGCAATATAAGTAAAACCTTAAGGAGTTTTTATTTGGTATCCAATAGTGAAATTGGTTTCCTATATGGGAAAATCACCATGTTTGATGGGAAAAGCCACTATAAATGGCAATTTTCAATCGCTTTTTGTATGTTTACCAGAGGGTACACCAGAGGTGGACACACATTGTTCACTTCATCGGCCAAGGCCACGGTCTTGGCCTACGGACAGACGGGGAGCGGCAAGACCTACACCATGGCGCGCGGAAACGCGGGACACGGGGCGAGAGCACTGCAGAAGTGGATGATTAGGACCTATTACACCTATTATAGTCCATTATTATCCATTATTATTATCTATTATGTGTATAATTAGGTGTATATTATAATTATCTATTATTATCTATTATTATATTTTATTATCTATTATTATCTATTATTATCTATTATTATCTATTATTATCTATTAGTATCTATTATTATCTATTATTATCTATTATTATCTATTATATATCCATTATGTGTATATTATATATATACACATTACTTTGATGCTATGTAATGTGGTCAAAACAATAATAAGCCATCGCCAAATTCACCATTTTTATGGGTGGTAACCATCAAAGATGTGGTTTAACGCCACCAAGTAGATGTGCTCGTGGATCGTCCCCATTTTTACACCAGGGCCGACTTATCAAGCGATTGATTCTTTGGGCTGACCAGCAACAATCACGTGTATAGGGCTTAATGAACCATCATACGGATGAAAGAAATCCTGCACCATTTGAATGGTGTTCCCATTCAAATCCCATTATTTACAGTGTTTCATAGGTGCCTACTATCTACGGTAGTTCCCAACTGGTGCAGGATTTCTTCCATCCACAGTATCACCTCGACTTGGCTGAACCGGCTGAACACCCATGATACACTGGCGCACAAATATGGGATGTTAGCAAGAATTGGGGCCTGTCAAAAGCAATGAAGGTTTGAAATGTCGAAAATCATGGGTACTCTCTGTTTATTTGGCATAGATATGGAAAAGCAGTATTTTTTTGATAGGTATATCATTGAAGTATAACAATTTTAGTTCACTGGAGGCTATGCAAATTTGGTGAAAGATTGTTTCAATCAGCAACATTTTGAGGATTTGACATTTAACACAACTAGTGGCCTTTATCATTGTCATGTAGCAGTTTATCCCAGCATAAATTCATGATGGACTTGTGACGACTGGACTGCATATTGTTTGAGTCATTTTTCACATTCAGAGTGTTATCAAATTCATGAATGAAGCATGAATGTTAAATGACTCATGTTAAATGATTCATGTTAAATAACTCATGTTAAATGACTCATGTTAAATGACTCATGTTAAATGACTCATGTTAAATGACTCATGTTAAATGACTCATGTTAAATGACTCATGTTAAATGACTGTTAAACTATTTTTTTTTTAATATCCCAATCATCTTTCCATGGTTCAATATATGAGTGCTATCATGAAGAAATTATCACCAACATATCACCATGGGGATCATGAAAATGGGTGCACCTCCACAGATGATACTCGTATGATATGACAAGCGACATACAGTACGACAGCATTGGAGTTGTTACTAATAGTTGGCTGGTTGGTGGTTTTAAACATGAATTGTTTGACTTTCCATATATTGGGAATGTCATCATCCCAACTGACGAACTCATATTTTTCAGAGGGGTAGGTCAACCACCAACCAGTTGGTCATGCAACCAAGTTTTTTTGGGGGGTCACCGGTGAACAGTGCTGTGAAAATGAGATGATGTTGAACGCATCAATGGGACGCATAACATGTCTCGGTTGTGAAGCATGATAGGTTCAGTCAGGTTAAAGGCACATAGAATCTACATCATTAGTTTGAACCTAAGTTACTCATCAACTAACCCAGTCGGTTTTTGGAGTTAACTATATTATATATATATAATATATAATTCCATTTGTTGGTTGATGCTTGCACAGGGTTCACACGAAAGTGTCCAATGGCGTATTTGGGGTTTTCCATCATTCACATTCAGCTGTAGGATGTTGGTATATATGGTGGTTTCCTCAACTTGGCGTACCTCTAAATCATCAAACCAACAAAATTGGGGATCTAGAATATCTGGAAACCACCATATAATATACAGGCATTGGTCAGAACCATGTACGCCACAGCATCGAAGTAGGATGAATGTTTCAACAATATCTTCTCTGCGAGTTTGTTGGCGTGTTGGTGTTACGCCAAGGTGTGTATCATGTTTGCCTTCAAAACGTTAACATAGAATCCTTAACATAGAATCCTTTAGGCAGATCATCATAAACGTTTAAAGAATGTGGCCGACTCTCCAGAAACCAACGTGGCTAAACTCGTGAAAGATGCTGAACTCGAGCTGAAGTGGCCATGGCCATGGACTTCAATGACTTCAAGTTCATTCTTTTCTGGGTTGGTGGTTTGGAACCATGAAATTTTATGACTTTCCATATATTAGGAATAATCATCCCAACTGACTAATATTTTTCAGAGGAATAGGTCAACCACCAACCAGTTTTAATGGACTTCAAGCTCACTTTTGAAGGCACTTCCGAGGATATTTTGAAGGCTATCACAGCACCTTCCAGGTCAACTGAAGCTGCAGGAAATCACAAATGAACCCCGCCAGAAAACAAAAAACACTAGAATAATATGGTTAATATATGGTTTATATATGGCTAATATCACATAGCCCAGAATTATAATTACTTTTTTTTGTCGGTTTTCTAGATGTGAGATTCCAGATGAGTCCCAATGACTCGCACTTCAACCCAAACATTTGGAAAGCAAATGGAAGAAATGCAAACACCTGGAGAGAACATGGAAGGAATGCTGTAAGCCCGTGATACTGTACATAAAGAGACGTGTGATGGGTCTGCTATGTACTTTACTTTGCCATAGAACTGTAAAGCCCCTCAACATCCCTTAACTATATACTATTTATACATCTATCATATACAAGGTGGTACCCCCCAGTTATGTGTGTTGGTTTATAATCCCCATGAAAACTATAGATATAACCCCCATCAACCCTAGATGAATTGGACTTATAAACGCACCAATTTAGCGTTCACGAACTGGGGCACCACCTTGTAGTGGGATATAGGTCTGAACCATCAGATCTTGGTCTCATCAAGTCATCAAGTCAGTGTTCCAGCCACCCAAAAATCGATCTGCAGATGGGGCGATCAGTGTCTGCAGAGCGGAACAATGCAGACGAGGCGTGGCGGATCGTGGCAGAAATAGCCTCCAGTAACGATGGGGTTATAAATTATACCGGCTTCATCATGGTTTAATATGGTTAATAATTGTTAATAATGGTTGAAAATTGTTAATAATGGCTATATATATAATAATGGTTGATAATGGTTAATAATCATGGTTAATATGGTTAATAATAGATGTGGATACCCTTTCATTTAATCTGAAGCTCTGGGTTGGGTTAGCTTAAATGTGTATCCAAACGGTATCCATCCCTCGATCTGTGGAGAATCTTGGGATATGCTAGTAAGCGATGTACCCTCCAGTAATCAATGTGGCCCCAAAGTATGCAAGCACCTAGACCCTCAGTGCAACCATAAAGATGGTAGTCTACCTTCATAACAATAGTATTGGTTTACCGTTTGGTTTACCGTTGTTCATGTTTAACGGCAGGTTTTTCTTAGGGTCTAGGTGTGATTTTTCTGTTATATCTTCAATGCCGAAATATTCCCACAAGTTTATAAAGCCCATTAACTATAGTTATATCTACCATAATTCCTACTTATTGTAGTTATAAACCAACTTAGCTAACTATGTGGCACCACCTTGCGCTGAGGTCAAGAAGAGCGATGGCATGATCATGCGCGCCGCGCGGCGGCTCTTTCGTCACATCGGCCCCTCGGGTTGACTGGATCCGGATCTCTTTGGGGTGCTTCGCCGGTTGGAAAATCGCGCAACAAGTGGTGGTTTCCAGCGAAAATCATCGAGCTACCACTTGGTGATTTATCGTAGCTATGGACAGATCCACCATTGTTTATAGGTAAACTATCTATTTCTATGGGCCATCTATCCCATGGCAAACTGTTAGTCATAACTACCAGATGGTAAATGGTGGATTTGCCATTGCTATTTTGGATTACCGGAGGGTAGTTTTTTTTGGGGGGGGTAGCCTATTAAAACCAAGTTTACTGCAGTGACTGGGATGTTCATGGGATGTTCATGTCAGGTAAAAACAGGTCCACAATGCCAGGAATGCCATCTCAAAGTAGAGAAACCATTTGTGGACTCTTCTCAATCATCCTAAGTATTCCATCTGGAAGTTTCCTAAAATATGGCTACAACTCCAAATGATTAGACCATAGTTTTCATATTGAAACGAGCACGGTGACAATATGGGGGATGCCCTCATGACCTGTGGATACCATGGGATACCATGGGATTCTCCTGATGATTCAGCAGCTGAGATATAGCGGGGTGTTTTTTTCCGAAAATTCCAGGTCAGCCCGATGAAGGGATGGAAATGGATGGAAACTTGAAGTGTTGATTGATGTTTTTGATACACTGACTTGCAGTTTCAAGACACAAAATTTGGATGTAGAGGATCGAAATTTGCAGACATCCGTTGCAGCAAACATGACAATAGACATGGACCCTGTATTTCGAATACGTGTATCCCACCATTGATCTATAGCTTTGAAGAATTTTGACCAGCCATTTTTTTTGCTTCCATCTGTTTTGGGGATGAAAAACATCCGAACCTACCATGGAAGTGTGGGGTGTCATGGATGATCATGGCAGATTGAGAGAGCACACACTGTCTATTTTGCATAGGATTGTTTAATGGAGGTTTCCTGAAATAGGGGTACCCCATTTCATCATATTTCATCATCCATTCATGGGATTTTCCATGTTTTTTTATAAACCATCCAGCTACAGTATTGGGGTACCCCCATGACTACGGGTTTCCCCCATCCAGATTGGTGATCCCTGGGTTGCACAAGGTGAGATGTCAAATGCGCGCGTGACGGCTTGGGCCTCCCAGTTCTTGAAAACCGCCAAGCGCGTGGCTGTGGTAAGGGCCAGGGCAAAGGGATGCAAGGGATATACCCTCTGGTAATTTAACATAGCTATTGAAAATGGCCATTTATAGTGGATTTTCCCATTAAAAATGGTGATTTTCAATAGTTATGTTAGTTTACCAGAGGGTACTGTATATTGAATCTGGTTGGTGGTTTGGAACATGAATTTTCTGACTTTCCATTTATTGGGACTATTACTCCCAACGGACGAACTCATATTTGTCAGAGGGGCTGAAACCAACAACCAGGAATTGTATGTACTCGATATTACATGTGTACAATGTGTCTTGAATAAGAGAAGATAAAACCGGGAGACTTTCCAAAAAAACCATAGCTACAATATTAAAACATATCAAAACTTCTAAACCTCCAAGTAACCTCTAGATTTGCTCATTGGCGCCCGAGCCGCTGCGAGGTCACCGCGTCCTTCGCAGAAATTTTCAATGCCCCCGGAGCGGTCAATGAGTTCGGGACCTGAGATGGGGAGTTGCACTGCAGCGGAACATGGCTTGCAAGTGAGGTGTATCTATATTGTATAACAATATTATATATATGTATATGTAATTATATATATATATATATGTATATGTATACATATATATATATATATTTACAATCATATATATATAGGTAGTATGAGTGGCAACTTATATGAATTATATTACGTTTTAAGAAAAACATAACCACGTCAATGATTTTGGTAATAGTAGTGACAATCTCCCAATAGTTTGTTTTTGTTTTTCTGATTGTATGTTGTAGTACTATTAGCGACATTCCTATATCTCAGTCATAACTGCAAATCAGATATATACCAAGGATTTTCTCCATACTTCTATTATGCTTTATTGGCGGGCTAATGATATGATATATGATTATGTATACTGTACATACAACATGGGTGATTCCAATTGATGGACATTTAATTGATTTAATCAACACACATGGTATAACGATATACTGTTGGTTGGATTGAAATAGTGGATCTATGGCAAACAAGATGGCGCTCTTGTTTATGAGATTTCAATGAAGATGCTCATTTGAAGTATGGATTCACGCGGCGATTCAACCCGCTAAAATTGTGTTGTTGATTTCTTTCCAGTGTTTTACAGTCAAACAAATGATTCCCCAAAGTTACAAAAGTTTATTTTTACCAAAGTGACCCAATTAATTGAACCATTTCTCAATTGCTGCACGAAATCCATCGTGTTCTTATTCCCATGTGTGTTGAAATGCCGATAAAACGATGCTCAATTGTTTCCATTTGTTGAGCCCCTGTATTCTGATGGTTTAAGCCTCCTAATTTTTCTATGTTGATTAGACGTGCCATTGTCATGAACGAAAGAAACCAGTGGGACGTTGTTGTTTTAAACGATGCCACCTTCGTTGGTGAATAGAGGAAACTGTCCCAACAACCTGAATTTAGGTCGGTGAACTCATAAATGGATAATTGGTGGTTCATCCCACTTGGTAAGACGGTTATAACCCCAGGCATAAGTTGATTAGCGCTCCTTGTCCCACTTATAACTTGTGTTATAACCCGCTCAATAAGTGGGATGAACCGCCAAGTATATATATATAATTATATTTATAATTATATATATATAAAAATATATATACATAATTATATATATATATATAGTGTATAATGCACATTTGATTGTTTAGGCAGTATGCCTTGTCGAGACAGGCCGGGATGCTATAGAACCTACCATCATTCAAGGGCCCGATTCACACATTAACTAGGTTGGCTACGCCTATTTTATGGTGTGTTATCAAATTGCATTGCAAATAAGATTGTCACAAGATCAATTCGCGATAATGAGCTGGTTTGAAACTTATAAGACTGTGAACATCGTCATAAATGTGGGTCATAACATAAGATCACGAATCGCAATCAATTGTGTCATAAGATTGTCACAAGGTTTGGAACCCAACTTGCTCAGGTAGAGACACAGTTCTTCTGTGCACGTCAGTTCTTGTGTTGACAGGTGCATTTGCGATTTGCTCAACCCCGACGCTGGTAATCTGCAGGCAAGTCGGATGTCCATGTGTGTGAGAATCAGCAAGGATGCCCAGTCAATAAACTTCTGTGGGTGTTCATGTAAGTTATAGATGTGTGTGCATACAAATATTGCACGTAAACTAAAACAAAAGCAAATAGAACTCATGTGAAAAATGCATGACTCCCATAGCAAAAAGGCAACATCTCATGCACATCTTGAAAGCACAGTTTGAAATCATAAGTTTGGGTCAACCATTCCTTGTTCAAACACGGTTGAACACATGTGGGATTTTTCTCTTCTGGATCTAATGAGTGCAGTGCATCCTACAATTGGGTACCCCAAAACCACCAAGCTTGGCCAATGTACAGTACCATGACATGGCTCTCAGGGCAACCCCCAAGTTCGATCAAGTTTCGCGAAAAAAAAGTAGCAGCTAACCGGCTAAGGTTTTCCCATGTTTTCGCGCATGGGAAAGGGAGCCACGGCCCCAGTGCACAGGTGAGGTTTAGCCAGAAACATGGCTTCTTCATCAGCGACCTGGCGGTTTCTTGGCGATGGAACTTGTCTGGTTGGGATTTGGATCAAGATCTCCCAGTTCAAGTGCTGGGATTTGAGAACTCACAACAATCTGATTTAAAAATAAAATGGACATGTTGAGGACTGATTTCATGGGTTTAATGTCTGGTTGGTGGTTTCAAACATTTTCTATGTTCTATTTCATATATGGGATGTCATCCTTCCCACTGACGAACTCATATTTTTCAAGATGGTTGAAACCACCACTGGCTAGCATCTACACGAAACGAGCAGCAAAGATGGGACGAGAAGATGTGCGATGACTTTTCCCCATTGTGATTGACATATATTATCATATATTGACATCCACATGTGCCACATGTTGGATTAGATAGGATTAGGTGGCTCATGGTATTGTTGGTCTCCTGATTGGAAACACATTTTGCAGGCTGCGTCTGTCCATGGTAAGCCAGTAAGCCATCTCTAATGGCTGACCGTAAATGGGTAAGGATCATCCCCAGTCGATGGCAATGGCATTGGGGTGAAGACCGCATTGGTCTACGATCAGTTTCTGTGCCCAATGAACTGAGATTTTTAATGTTTTCAGTGGTGATGTGCCAAGTCTCAGGAAGAAAGTGCCTGGTTTAAATAACGACGAAGTGTTTGTTACCGGCAGGTAATCAAATTCGTTTGGTTTGCTGGAAAATCCTCTATTTATAATTATTTATAGATGATGTTCCTTTTGACATCTCCATTAATAGAGGGTTTCAATTGCCACGGTTGATTACCAGAAGGTATATAAATTGTAAGTTCGACTCCAGTTCAATCAGCAGCATGTCGCCAAAATCAAAGCATGTGAAGGAGTGAGTTGGCTGCATTCTCTTGGGCGGAACTGCTATAGCTCAACCATGGCATTTTCAGAGCCCTTGGGGTTTAGATTCATGGGATTGTCCAGCGTGCGTTTTCGCTGGCTTTTCGATGGGTGAGGCCGCCGAGGCCCTAGACCTTGGAACTGCTCGGAAAAGGCCCTGGACCGCGACTGTTGGAGGACGCCAGGCGGCTCTTTGACGCCATGGACCGCGCCTTAAAGGCGCGCAGCGCTGTCCAGAGCCAAGTTGGTGAAGCCAAGACGCATCGATGCAGACGTAGAACTGGAAAGGTGCCATTGAAAGACGCTGAGGGGATTCCATCTTCTGGCTTCAGGTCACCAGTCACTAGTGTCGTAAACCCAACATTGAAAAAAGCATGCAGCATTTACCCGATGGCTTCCCGTTTTGGGAGCCAGTATGGTTTTTGCATATTACATATTCAAGTGTACCACTGTGATTGGAGTATATATATATATACAATATATATAGAGTAGATAGGTATAGAATGATATAGATACCGTATGTTTCTCCAGTTTTCACAACCAACCGGGGAATGATGGCAAATCATATCTGTAGAGGTCCCCAAAAGGATAGGTCTCCGTTTTTCCAGGATGTTATGGATTGGAATGTTTACCGGAGAGAATTTCCTCCAGGTGTCCGACATCCTCGTTGGAAATTATATACTGGTCGGTGCTTTGGAACATGAATTTTATGATTTCCATATCTTGGGAATTTCATCATCCCAACTGACGAACTCATATTTTTCAGATTGAAACCACCAACCAGTATAAGTTATTATATAAGTTAAACAAAAAAACTCATTAATCCAGGAAACATTGAAACATCCTCCGATTTTGTTATTTTATCGAAGGAAGTTTGGAAGTCAAACTTCCGACAATATGGAGAGATGAAAAAGCAGTCAGCAGGGAGAAGAGTCAGAAGAGAAAAGATCAGAAGAAAGAAGATGCAGGTGCGCGAAAAGGTGGGAAAGTCGCGAAACACTGTGTTTTTTCGTGGTTTTGTGGCTCCGGAGGGTGAGACATCTGGGGAGATGAGAGATGAAAAGTTGCACGCCGCTGTGGCGCGAAGCACATTTGGAAGTAAAATGTGTTAAAAACTGATGGGTTCGGACCACTTTTGGAAGTTGAGATGTTGAAAAAGTGCACGCTGTTGTGGCGCAAAGCACGTTTCCAAGTCGAAATGCACAAAACACACCAGGTCCGGACCACTTTTGGCAGTTGAGATGTTGAAAAAGCGCACGCCGTTGTGGCGCGAAGCACATTTCGAAGTGAAAATGTACAAAACACACCAGCTCCGGACCACTTTTGGCAGTTGAGATGTCGAAAAAGTGCACGCCGTTGTGGCGCGAAGCACATTTCGAAGTCAAAACGTTAAAAACACCAGTGGTTCGGACCACTTTTGGCAGTTGAGATGTCGAAAAAGTGCACGCCGTTGTGGCGCGAAGCACATTTCGAAGTGAAAATGTACAAACACACCAGCTCCGGACCACTTTTGGCAGTTGAGATGTCGAAAAAGTGCACGCCGTTGTGGCGCGAAGCACATGTCGAAGTCAAAATGTTAAAAACACCAGTGGTTCGGACCACTTTTGGAGGTTCAGATGTCGCTTCGCTTCACTACACTACACATACTACACTACATTACACTACACTACACTCCACTACACTACGCTCCACTACACTACACTACACTACACTACACTACATTACACAACACTACAACTACAACTACGCAACTACACTCCACTACACTCCACTACACTAAATTACACTACACTACATTACACTACACTACACTACATTACACTACACTGCACTACCTTCCACTACACTTCACTACATGACACTACACTCCACTACACTACATTACACTACACTACCTTCCACTACACTTCACTACATTACACTACACTACACTCCACTACACTACAACTACAACTACGACTACACAACTTCACTCCACTACACGAAATTACACTACACTACACTACATTACACTACACTACACTACACTACATTCCACTACACTCCACTACACTACACTACATTACACTACACTACAATACACTGAATGACACTGCACCACAGATAGACAGGTAGACAGATAGACAGACAGACAGACAGACAGATAGATAGATAGATAGATAGACAGGTAGACAGCTAGACAGATAGACCGATGAAAGAGAGAGAGAGAGAGATAGATAGATAGATAGATAGACAGGTAGACAGCTAGACAGATAGACAGATGAAAGAGAGAGAGAGAGAGATAGATAGATAGATAGGTAGATAGGTAGATAGGTAATTAGATGAAAGAGAGAAAGAGAGAGATAGATAGATCGATAGATAGATAGATACATAGAAGATAGGCTGGTAGGTAAGTAGATAGTCAGAGAAAGAGAGAGACAGAGAGGAGACCTCAAGCACCTTTCGGTCCATCAGTGGATTCGCTTTGCCATCCCTGATTCACAACAACCAACCTCTCCTATAGGTTTCCTATTTCTGAAACTTCCGCCACCGCCTTGTGCGGTACTACTGGTAGAACCCAAAAAAACATGGCAAAACCATCAATAACGTCAAATACATTGAGTTCCATAAACATAGCCTATGATGAGTCGAGCCGTTTCTATCTGTTTGGGTGTTACTATAGCTCATAGGATCCATGTATTGTATATATATATACATAATATATATATATGCTAACATTTGGGGTATATTGATGGGATCCATGTTACCATATATTTGGAAAATCACCATGCTATCAATAGGTAAACCATTTATAAATGGTCCATTTTCCATTGCCGACAATTTTTGGGTTTCCGTGACATCAGCCGACCACAAGCGAGGTCATGGAGTGCACCAGCATTGCCGATGTGAGATCTGTCTTGGAGGCGTTCCAATGTAGGGCCCCTGTGATAAGGCGATTTACAACTAAGATCAACTAATTCATGTCGGGTTTATGGTAGTTATAACATTTTATAGCTAGTTCGTTAGATGGGTTCAACTAAACCAAATTGTAACTTAGGGGCACCACTTTGTTGTAGTAGGCTGTTCTGAGTGGTAGTTGATCATCATACATTGGGAGTAATTGGTAGTAGTAGTATGATGTAGTAGGCAGTTTGCCAAGTATTGGTAGAAACGTGTTCAAAGTTCTGACTGTCATCAATAAATTTGGCTTTTCGGAAGTTCGAATCTCCTAGGTATGTAGTCCTAAACTCTTGGCGGACCATCCCAGTTGATATGTTTCTGTTGCTCCACAAATAGTCAGGATGAGAAAACTACACTTAGTTTCTATACACGCAATTGATGTTGCTATAAGTCACTAAAGGTGTAGTTGATTAGGGAACGCTCGGCTGTTAAAGCAATAGTTGGAGGTTGGAGGGCTTTGCAATCCAACAAAGTTAATGCAAATAGATGCAAGTAGGGCGTACCCAAGCAGCAATTGTATAGTATGGACGATGACGAACATTGATAAGCCATCAATTTTGGGGTTACCCTATTTTCAGACAACCCCCATATCATTGGATGAGTCAAATGGTAGTTTATTGGGATATAAATTGGTTAAACAAAAAAACGCATTATATAATTAAGTGCTGCAAACCCCAGTCGCCCTAGTGAACTAAACCAACTTGAACGAAATTCCATGAAACCCCATGAATTCCCATCTTAAGTCCCATTTTTCAAAAAATGCGTTTAAACCCATGGTTTCCCATGAAATCCCAATACTTCCCACAAGGTGGTGCCCCAGTTCGTGAACGCTAAATTGGTTTATTATATAAAGGGCTCCGCCCCCTGCCGCCGACCCCTGGGCATATCTCCCATTGAGCAAAACAGCAGGGCCCTGAAGGACGGACCGAGCCTCCGGGCAACGGCTCCCAGTGCCTAACGTTGCTTTCTGAACCTACAAGAAAACTAGCTCTCTTCCAGCCGTCAAGGCTCACAAACGGCGCCCTCGCCACAGCAAAACAGCAGGGCCCTGAAGGACGGACCGAGCCTCCGGGCAACGGCTCCCAAACTAGCTCTCTTCCAGCCGTCAAGGCTCACAACCGGCGCCTCCGCCACAGCAAAACAGCAGGGCCCTGAAGGACGGACCGAGCCTCCGGGCAACGGCTCCCACTGCCTAACGTTGCTTTCTGGACCTACAAGAAAACTAGCTCTCTTCCAGCCGTCAAGGCTCACAAACGGCGCCCTCGCCACAGCAAAACGGCAGGGCCCTGAAGGACGGACCGAGCCTCCGGGCAACGGCTCCCATTGCCTAACGTTGCTTCGAACCTACAAGAAAACTAGCTCTCTTCCAGCCGTCAAGGCTCACACACGGAGCCCTCGCCACAAGCAAAACAGCAGGGCCCGAAGGACGGACACGAGCCTCCGGGCAAAGGCTCCAAACTAGCTCTCTTCCAGCAGTCAAGGCTCACAAACGGCGCCTCGCCACAGCAAAACAGCAGGGCCCTCTGAAGGACGGACCGCGCCTCCGGCAACGGCTCCCAGTGCTAACGTTGATTCTGAAACCTACAAGAAAACAGCTTATCTCAGCCGTCCAAGGCTCACAAAACGGCGCCCTCGCACAGCAAAAGAACAGCAGGGCCCTGAAGGACTGGACGAGGCTCCGGGCAAAGGACTCCCCAACCGCTCTCTCAGCCGTCAAGGCTCACAAAACGGCCGCATCCGCCACAGCAAAACAGCAGGGCCCTGAAGGACGGACCGAGCCTCCGGGCAACAGCCCCCAGTGCCTAACGTTGCTTTCTCAACCTACAAGAAAACTAGCTCTTTTCCAGCCGTTAAGGCTCACAAACGGCGCCCTAGCCACAGCAAAACAGCAGGGCCCTGAAGGACGGACCGAGCCTCCGGGCAACGGCTCCCAAACTAGCTCTCTTCCAGCCGTCAAGGCTCACAAACGGCGCCTTCGCCACAGCAAAACAGCAGGGCCCTGAAGGACGGACCGAGCCTCCGGGCAACGGCCCCCAGTGCCTAACGTTGCCTTCTGAACCTACAAGAAAACTAGCTCTCTTCCAGCCGTCAAGGCTCACAAACGGCGCCCTCGCCACAGCAAAACAGCAGGGCCCTGAAGGACGGACCGAGCCTCCGGGCAACGGCTCCCAAACTAGCTCTCTTCCAGCCGTCAAGGCTCACAAACGGCGCCTCCGCCACAGCAAAACAGCAGGGCCCTGAAGGACGGACCGAGCCTCCGGGCAACGGCTCCCAGTGCCTAACGTTGCTTTCTGAACCTACAAGAAAACTAGCTCTCTTCCAGCCGTCAAGGCTCACAAACGGCGCCCTCGCCACAGCAAAACAGCAGGGCCCTGAAGGACGGACCGAGCCTCCGGGCAACGGCTCCCAAACTAGCTCTCTTCCAGCCGTCAAGGCTCACAAACGGCGCCTCCGCCACGCCAAACAGCAGGGCCCTGAAGGACGGACCGAGCCTCCGGGCAACGGCTCCCACTGCCTAACGTTGCTTTCTGAACCTACAAGAAAACTAGCTCTCTTCCAGCCGTCAAGGCTCACAAACGGCGCCCTCGCCACAGCAAAACAGCAGGGCCCTGAAGGACGGACCGAGCCTCCGGGCAACGGCTCCCAAACTAGCTCTCTTCCAGCCGTCAAGGCTCACAACCGGCGCCTCCGCCACAGCAAAACAGCAGGGCCCTGAAGGACGGACCGAGCCTCCGGGCAACGGCTCCCACTGCCTAACGTTGCTTTCTGAACCTACAAGAAAACTAGCTCTCTTCCAGCCGTCAAGGCTCACAAACGGCGCCCTCGCCACAGCAAAACAGCAGGGCCCTGAAGGACGGACCGAGCCTCCGGGCAACGGCTCCCAAACTAGCTCTCTTCCAGCCGTCAAGGCTCACAAACGGCGCCTCCGCCACGCCCAAACAGCAGGGCCCTGAAGGACGGACCGAGCCTCCGGGCAACGGCTCCCACTGCCTAACGTTGCTTTCTGAACCTACAAGAAAACTAGCTCTCTTCCAGCCGTCAAGGCTCACAAACGGCGCCCTCGCCACAGCAAAACAGCAGGGCCCTGAAGGACGGACCGAGCCTCCGGGCAACGGCTCCCAAACTAGCTCTCTTCCAGCCGTCAAGGCTCACAAACGGCGCCTCCGCCACAGCAAAACAGCAGGGCCCTGAAGGACGGACCGAGCCTCCGGGCAACGGCTCCCACTGCCTAACGTTGCTTTCTCAACCTACAAGAAAACTAGCTCTCTGAGCTGTCTTCCAGCCGCCTGCCTAACGTTGCTTTCTGAATCGACAAGAAAACTAGCTCTCTGACCTGTCTTCCAGCCGCTTGTTGCTTCCTGGCTTCTTGTTTCTTGCTTCTCTGACCTGTCTTCCAGCCGCCTGCCTAACGTTGCTTTCTGAATCGACAAGAAAACTAGCTCTCTGACCTGTCTTCCAGCCGCTTGTTGCTTCCTGGCTTCTTGTTTCTTGCTTCTCTGACCTGTCTTCCAGCCGCTTGTTGCTTCCTGGCTTGTTGTTTCTTGCTTCTCTGACCTGTCTTCCAGCCGCTTGTTGCTTCCTGGCTTCTTGTTTCTTGCTTCTTGCCGCTTGTTGCCTGTAATTGCTTCTTGCTTCTTGCTTCTTCTTTCTTGTTTTCTTCCTTCTTGCCCTTGCTGTTTGTAATGACTTCTCTGACCTGTCTTCCAGCCGCTTGTTGCTTCCTGGCTTCTTGTTTCTTGCTTCTTGCCGCTTGTTGCCTGTAATTGCTTCTTGCTTCTTGCTTCTTGCTTCTTCTTTCATGTTTTCTTGCTTCTTGCCCTTGCTGCTTGTAATGACTTCTTGGCCCTTGCTGCTGGTAATTCCTCCTCTGACGCGCTCCCCCTGCTGTCGGCAGGGGTCGGCGGATTATAACTCCAATAATTAACTATGGCTTATGGTAGGCAGTTATAACAATTGTTATAACGAACTAGTCACTGGGGCGAATCTAAACCAACGTTCACATCACTGGGGCCTCACATTGTAGATATATAGCTATTATTAGTTTGTGATATACCCATTAACACTATATATCCATTAACACTATATATCCATTAACACTATATATCCATTATATATCAATTATATATCCATTATATACCCATTATACCCATTAAATCTCCACGGTTTCCCCGGGATTTTGTAGATGCCTCGAGGCCGGCATGGCGAACCGCCGGGTCTCCGCGCACGCGCTGAACCGCGAGAGCTCGCGGACGCACGCGCTGTGCCTTCGGCGCCGAAGAAAGTAGCGATTTACGGTGATTTCAGTGTCAAAGATGTGGATTCGAATCATGAACAAATCATGGAACATGGGAATTCAAGATGTTTTCAACAATAAACATTGGGATTTAATCCAAAATAGGAGTATGAGGATTTCACCAACAAAAATAGGATTTGACCAGCAAAAATGTGGTGAAAACAACAACATCGGGAGCTGTTTTTGAGGTACGGAGAGGCCACCAATGCAGATGTAACTAACAACAATTGAGAGTGATATTGGATTTATATCCCATATGCTCCATGTAGTATACCATATGTACCTACATTTGGGCCATTTATGGACTAAATGGCGGTAAATATTCCATACATGGAGCATATGGGTATGGATTTATGATAGGCGCTTGTTTGCTTTTTAAGTAATTACAGCGACTGGGGACTGTTGGATTTATGGTCGACATATCTACAGCTGGGTGAAACTAAACCAACTCATAACTCATGAGGCTGTCGCCCTACTTACCCTATTTTGAACCCTAAGCAGGACTAATCCTCACGGATGTTTTCATTGGTATCTCTACTTAGTTGAGGATATTCTATACCCAGATGCAACCCATGGTGGAAGATGAATCCCAACATTTGCCCAACATAAATCACCCAGTGTTGTACATATCTAGGGTTGATTAGGGGGTTATATCATTTGGTTGGTGGTTTCAAACATTTTTTATTTTCCATAATGTATGGGATAATCCTTCCCATTAACTAATATTTTTCAAGATGGTTAAAACCACCAGTCAGTCATGTTATATCTATAGTTAATGGGGATTATAAACACTATAAACCAACAAACATAACTGGGGAGGTACCACCTTGTAGGTTTTTATATACCAGCACCATGGGCTTCGCATCTCGGGACGTGATCTCGGATTGTGGTCACTGTTCCCGGAACGCCACTTGGGACGTTGGAATAGAGGACCAATGGCAGTGCTCTTATTTCAACATGAGTTCTTGTAAGGTTCACAAATATATAATATATATATATATAATTTAATATAATATAATACAATATATAATAAGAAACAAATTTAATATACTATAATATGATATGTTATAATATAATATATAATACAATATATTATAATATAATTATAATGTACTTATAATATAATATAATATAATATAATATAATTATAATATCATATAATTTAATTTAATATTATATAATTATAATATAATATAATACAATATAATATAATATAATTTAATTATAATATAATATAATATAGTAATAATAATATACATATATATATATATATACAAAGGCTAGTTTTGGAAACTAGCTCCAGTGACAAGCTCTGCAGCGGTAGTACAACTCCGCTAAAGTATGCAAACAAAAACGAGCTTTGTTTATTTGCGAGGACGACCCCGTACTAAGGTCTACAAAGACTATTTGTTCAATCTATATACACATGTCTGCAGGAATCATTTCCCATTCCATCCGTCTATAGTACAGTTATAAATTTGCCAAAGAAATCACCCCGTCATGTAGCTAAGCATACATGGGTTTGTCTGCAAAATTCCCAAAGACAGGAAAGTTTCCTGAAACACTGGTGGACTGAGAGCTACAAAGTTGCACCGACTTTTTTGCTTCTGGACCTGGTGACAGCAGATGACACAAGATGATATGCGCGGTATCCAATGGCTAAGTAGAAATGATAGTCTAACGTCACATCTTCCGCATAAACACGTGGCCATAAATTGGGGTATGCTCTGTTATCACATGAAATGGCTTACATATATCCCAGTGTATCAGGTAACATACTGTGGATGGAAGAAAGAAATCCTGCACCACCAACAGGATGGTTGAAACCCTATAAATGATTAAACCTATCAACCAGTCCAGGATTTCTTCCATCCACATGTATGTCCCCATTGTTGATGATTTTACCTCCTTACACTCCATATGCTTGCTGCTTCCCAGCATCGCAGCCACAACCCTTCTCGGTGCACTATGCACCAAGGTTTGCCTTGCACATCGACTGCGAGAAATTTGTCGGGTTGCACAGCAGCTGGATTTGGACCAGATTTTTCTTCGCCGATTTTGTTGGTTAAACATGGTTAAACCTGAATATTTAATATTATTTAGTCAATTTTGCTGATTAAAATAACCTCACTTTCCCCATTACTTGATGGCTATTTTGGTGGTTAAACGGTCCCATTTTCAGATGCACCGGTCGCTGTTCCCAGCATCGTGATCTCTGATGGCACGGGTTTCCGGCCTCTGATATTCAAGGGCTGGAACCCTAAAGAAATGGGAAGGTTGATATCGAATTTAAAGCTCAGCATTTCCAAAAAGACAAGATGTGTGTTTGCATTTGGATACAGCAGTCTTGGAGTATATAGTTTCTTTGGGTTGCCAAATCCTCTCTGGATCTTATGATACAAAATGGGACATACTAATGCATGAGATTTCACATCCCATCATGGACGACTCTGTCAGATCAGCTCAGTAGAGTCTACTCAGGATACATAGCTTACGATGCTTACGTGCCCAATATTGACGAAATTAAGTTTGACCCCCCGGTACGAAAATCACATGTTTTTGATATTGTTTAATGGAAACTAGTCTTCCAACCCCTATCTGCCAGGGTCTATGTTAATTTACCCGAGGGTAAACATCTTTAAACTAGGTTCTTGGAAGTCAGTCGATCGCCTATGAGCTTCTCAGTCCATTGGCGAACATGTATTGCGACCTCAACCAGGTATTCGGGAGCGCCTCAATGTCATACGTCTAGAATTTGTTTGAAATTTATAAGATTCATCCTGGGTGCTCAAGATAGGTTGTTTTGGCTGTTTTGACATTCATATTTTGATATCACCAGCTTTGTTGTTCGAACATTTTGTTGTTGGTCAAACCATCACTAAGTCGCCATGCAAGATCCCATGTTGATTGGTTGATATCCCATGTATGCTGCTTGCTGCTTTAGCCCTGATTTGGCTTACCCTTTGGTAATCAAATATGGCAATGGACAGTCGAAAGTTCGATTATTGAAGTATACAACATGGTGATTTTCCATACCTACCCTCTGGTTATTTGACACGCTAGTAGCTATGTAAGCGATGGCCAATGGAAATAGATGACACACACACAATGATTTATCTAGGAAACACGGCGATTTTCCAGAGCTATGTGTAATATAGTTTAATATTATATGTATATATATATATATATAGGCTCAAGGCTGGGGGTTCCCCGGAGCTTCGAGGAACCCTCAGTCTTGATGCTATACCATAAAGGTCGTTCTTGTATAGAGATGGGGGGCGGGGGTGGGGGGTGTGTAATAACGTCATGTGAAGTGCGTTGAATGATGTTGAATCCTGGAAGATGTTGCTTGGTTGGAAGATGGTGTTACGTTGAAAGTTTCGTTGTTGTTTACAGGAGGGGGGGTGGGGGGGTGTAATAACGTCATGTGAAAAACATAAAACACTGTAAAACACAGTGTGAAAACAACATTTTCCATCGCCATCAAAGAAAACTTCATGGACGCGAAGATAAAAAAGATGTGATGTTCATTTCGTCCATTGTTCTCCAGTGAATTATCACATGTTCTACTTATCAAAAGAACAACCAAAAACGCATGAAACCGCACTTCCAATGGTTAGCATGTTCCACACCTCTTTAGCCATCCATGGAAATCTAAATTTATCCTGTTTCGGCGCGGACAAACGTCAAGTTCTTCCGCGATGAAAATGGAACTTCGATTGATCAAACAAATTCAGAGAAAAACATAAAACACTGTAAAACACAGTGTGAAAACAACATGTTCCATCACCATGCCAAAAAAAAGGTTTGTGGACGCGAAGATGAAAAATATGTGATGTTCATTTCGCCCATGGTTTTCCAGTGAATTATGACATTTTGTACTTATCAACGAAAACTAAAAAATGCATGAAACCGCAATTCCAATGGGAAAAATGTTGCACACATTTTTGGCCATCCATGGAAGATGTAAATTTATCATTTTTCTGCGCGGACAAACTCCGAGTTTATCCGCGCCGACATTGATACTTTCACTGATGGAACACTTTGAAGGAAAGGCAAAAAACACTGCAAAATACACTGTAAAATCAACATTTTGCAGATCCATACAAATAAATTGCAATTGGCTTCCGGGGAACCCCCAGCCTTCGCCCTATATATACTATATATATATAATTGTATAGTATTATCTACATACATCTACATACATTATATACCCTCTGGTAAACTAACATAACTATGGAAATTCACTATAACTGGTGATATACATATTACCCTCTGGTTATTTAACATAGCCATGGAAAACGGCCGATTTACAGATGATTTTCCCATTAATACCTCCATTTATAAGGGATTTTCCATGGCTATGTTAAATAACAATAGGGTATATATAATTATATAACACATGTGTATATATGTACATAGATTAACATAGTTTAATTTAGTTTAATAGAGCTATGTGTAATATAGTTTAAGATAATATATATATAATAATAATAATAGTGATAATAAGAATATGTATAGTATTATCTACATACATTATATACCCTCTGGTAAACTAACATAACTATGGAAAATCACCTTTTTTATTGGAAAATTCACTTTAAATGGTGATATACATATTACCCTCTGGTTATTTAACATAGCCATGGAAAATGGCCGATTTATAGATGATTTTCCCATTAATACCTCCATTTATAAGGGATTTTCCATGGCTATGTTAAATAACCAGAGGGTATATATAATTATATAACACATGTGTTTAGTTTAACATTGTTTAACATAGTTTAATATAGTTTAATAGAGCTATATATGTGTAATATAATTTAATATAATACTATATATGTATATTGTATTATCTACATACATTATATACCCTCTGGTAAACATACAGAAAACTATGGAAAATCACAATTTTTCATGGGAAAATTCACTATAAATGGTGATATCTATATGGTCTCCTCTCCGGAGGCGGAGGATGATGGTTCCAGCTCACCCACGCGCACCTACGGCAGCGTGGTTCGGATTATTATTTTTTTTTCGGGGCTCCCAGGGTCGGTCCAACGGTGGCGCGATCCAAGGGGCAAAAAAGATTTCACCCAGAAAAACATTGTGATTTAAGCGACCAACATGGTGATTTTACGTGTGATGTCCATGGCGCGAAGTTTTTTTTTGGTCAATCATGTTGACGGCAGACTTTCGACAGAAAAAATGGTCGGTTAACATCTAGGGGTTTCTAGATGGGTGATTTTTTCACAAACTTGATTCTGAGTTTCTTATGCCCAGGCACCAAAGTATACCTGGTTGGAAACATGGATCATGTATCCGCTTACCCTTTGGTAATCTAACGTAGCGAACTGGAAAAATCACCATTTAAAATAACTGGTTGCTGGTGACTGGAACCATGGAATTTTGAATGACTCTGACTTGGGATGAGGATCCCAACTGCCAAGCAGGCAGTGATGGTTTTGCAATAATCAATCATTAATTCTAGGCATTTATCATAACAGGACTGGACTATCATAACCAATAAGAAAACTAGTGAAACTTATAGCACTAGGAATAGTTTCTGTTTTTTCTTATAGCAGCACTATCATTGGTTTTTCAGGAAACTCGGAAAAGAAAGCCAGAGGAATTGCCCACCGACCGAAGGCAGCACAGGTGGGACCATGCTGGAAGTAGGGGGGATAGCAGGGATTTTTGTTTTTGACCATAAATGTGAAATTCTATGAAATTCCACTCGAATCCACTCAACTCCACTAAAATCAACTATGATGTCAATGATATCCATCAAATTCCATGAAATTCTACTAAAATCTAATCAACAAAATTTTCCAGATTCTCTCAGTTCCCCTCAACTCAACTAATACCCACGTTTGCAGATGCTAGTTCTACCACCATGTCCGCTTCTACCACCATCCCAGGCAAGGTGACCTTTGTGGACTTAGTCGGAGACCTCAAAGAGACGGCCACACTGAGATCTTGAGCAGTGGAAAATCATCTGTAAAAAAGGGAAAATCATAGGAACATATGGAGATTCCATGAGAATCCCCTATCAAGCAAAGGGAACATCATAGGAACATATGGACAATTCCTCATAAAATCGGCGAGAAATCATCGGAACATATGGAAATTCTCCGTGGACATATGGGAAACATCTGGTAAAATACCAAACAATGCGGTAGAACAATCACAGGAACATATAGAACAATCACAGGGAAATTTCCTACAAGGTGGTGCCCCCCAAGTTATGTTTGTTGGTTTATAATCCCATTAACTGTAGATATATCACCAACAAAAACCATAGTGAAATTGGAGTTATTTGCACCAACTTAGCTATCGTTTGGGGGCACCACCTTGTAGGACATGGGGGTATTTTCATGGGAGAATCATCGAACTTATCGGGGGATCTGCTGAGCTGGTGCTGTGGCTTATTTTTCAAGATGGGAACCGACTACAAAGGAACCGTTCGATAAGAACCGTTCGATTAGGAATTTTCCAGCCGACCCTGGGGTTCTTAAGTGCTATAGGTGCAAAATATATGAAAATATGGGAATTATGAACGAGGGTACCCTCAAGTTCTTAACGGGTTAGTCCTTCAGGGCTTCATATGGTGAGGGTTTTGCCAATTCATTTTGGCGTGGTATAAGGTTGCAAAGGAGGCGGGGGGAAGAAAACAACTTTCATCTTTTGATTTAGGCGCCCGGAACCAGGCAGGCAACAAGCCAAGACAAGCCAACACAAGCCAAGGGCAGCCTCCGAGGTTAGATGGCCTTCAGTGAGTCCGGCTGATATCTGGCTCAGGCTTCGTCAGCCTTGCTGACCGTATGAGGGCTCAAATCCCTGTGGCGGTGGCGATTTGCTTGCGTCTTGCGTGCTTGCTTCTTGCTTTCATATATAAATAGTCAATGTTTGGTATACTGATACCCGGTAAAAGGGGAATAAGGACCAGTGGCTAGAATCCAGGGTACCCTGGGGATCTTATTTCAATTGGCTGACAGAAAGGCTTGAATCCAGCTGAAGTTCTTATCGCCGTAGGTTCTTAGACCGTGGTTTCACTGTACTACTTGGGGAATCTCTGACGAACATGTTTTGTTTGTTGTGGAGTCCTTAAGCAAATCCAGAATCCAAGATTTCAGGGGAGATCATGTGAGATTACGAGGTGCCCATGCCAAAATAAATCATATGTGGATACGGTTCTGTCTGAAAATGGAGTTATACCCTGAAATTGCAATATTAGTATGCTTAGTATGCTTAACCAACAATGGATGGAGTGGGGTATTATACTTTCAGATAAACCCATATAGCATGTTAAACACATTTTTATTAGCAATGAGATGAAATTATAAATGGTGGCCTGCAACCTAAGGATCATACCATGGAAATATTGGATGTGAGCCATGCAATGATATCTATCACTACATATCATTACTACCCCTTTGTCCCTCAACCTCTGTTGATTGATGAGTATATTAGTGGGGAATATTTGGTGATCCAACTTTGGGTCAAATCCCAAGCAAATCCGCTCCAAGAGGGATTTCCTATCATTGGTGGTCTTATTGGGTCTAATGGGGATCATCAAGGAAGCCCAATGCTGAATTTTCCATATTGACTGGAGGTCAACAATGCTGTCGCCTTGGGATTGAACATTTGAATCCATACCCAACTGTGACTAATGCGAATCAAAATCCCTGTGTTACAATGTAACCGAATCGATTCCATTCATTCTTGATTCGTGTGACTCATATGCAGATGAGCTTGGGGCGTTTGATATGTGTGGCAGCGAACACGTCCGCATCCATGCTCCATCCCTGACCTTCAATTCGTCAAGCAAAATTTCTTACAGGTCTCCACCATGACATGAACTTTCTGAGACATCGCGGTCTAGGTAATATATGTTGCATATGCTTGCTGTAGATTCTGACATATGATGTGAGATTGTCTGATCTGTTTGCTTTTGAAGTGAATTTTGGTGTAAATATTATATCATATTTTCTGGATCAAATCCTGCTGTATTATTCTTATAGTGTCCCCCCAAAAAATAGAAAAGTTTTTTTAGGATGTTACGTCCTGAAAACCGACGGGAAAATTTTCACCCGACATCCTGAAAACCGACGGGAACATGTTGGCCAAAATTTCTGGGAGAAATTTCTGGATGAAAACCTTGCAAACATGGGAGATCCCAGAATGCATGCACAGGTAGCTGGGGGATACTGAAGATAGAAAAGCCGAAAATGAAAAATCTGATCCTACAATCTATACACCCCGAATCTGCAAATAGCTTGGGGATATTCACAAAGTAGGTGAAAAGTTGCAAGGGTCTAGCAGCTAGCAAAAACCAAAGCCAAAGGCTTTTTAGAAGCGACTCAACATGAAACGATCACAACTGTAGGCTCCGGAAATGGGAAAAGTTTGCTATTTACAGGGTGTCAGCATTTCCAAGCTTTTCTATCTTTAGTATTGTCTATATATATATGTGGGAAAAAGCATAATTGGATCATTTTTATGGCTTAAAACTTTTCTATCTTTAGTATCGCCTGTAAATTTGCAGGGAATTGTGCACTTAAAAACATTCAAATTGAGGAAATCCCGTAAATTTACAGTCGATACTAAAGATAGAAAAGTTTGCACACCTGAAATATCCCGTCGTTTTTCAGGTTGTAACTTTTCGCGCAAACCCCCCAGTTCGCCCACACAACTTCTTAGGGATTTTGAAGGAATATAAATTCCGACCCCCGTTAAACTTTACATTCAATTGGGAAGATCAACAAGGGTATTAGGAATATAAATTCCCAACCCCGTTAAACTTTACATTCAATTGGGAAGATCAACCTAAAGGTATTAGGGAATATTACAGTCCCACCCCTGTTAAACTTCTACATTTATTGAAGATCTTCAATAAGGGTTTAGTTCTCCCACCCCGTTAAACTTCTACATTCATTGAAGATCTTGAATAAGGGTTTGATGATGATGATGGTGATGGTGATGATGCAGATGATAATGATGACGATGTTGTTGTAACATTCAACGCACAGGTAGCTAAGCTGTGCGTTGCAAGATGAAAGCCATGATCATGGACATGTGCATTTTGTCCCACAAAACACATTGTTTTTTGATGTTCGGACATGTCGTCGGCGTCGGCGCGGGCAAACTGAGGGGTTTTACCGTAACTTTTCTATCTTCTCGGGGAACACTATAATTAATAGTATATCATTATAATGTTTACCCGCTCACACATGTTCAAACACATATACAAAAGAATCAACAACAACCTGACACACACACACAAACATGTTCTCTGACATGTATACAAAACTAATTTCCTGGCCAATCAACTGACATGTTTTGTGACATGTTCCTGACGTACATTCTGGTTCATATGCATGTCAATGCCATTTGGCATGTAATCTGACGGGTTTCTCTGTCATGAATTCCAACGTTGCAAGTGGCATCTATTCTGGCAACATTTCTGACATGTAGCATGTAGTCTGATGATGTTATTACCGCTTTCCTCTGAAATCGAATTCTGGCATTTCACGCGACTTGTCTTCTGACATGGCTTCGTACAACATGTTGCCTGATATCGGTATAGGGTCAAGGTCCAGAAGGACAGACAGAGTCCGCCATTTAATCTTGTCGAAATACCTACGCTTCCGACGCTTTCTTGAACACTTCCTAGATCTCTATGAATCTTAGAGTTCACAGCTACCGCATTTGCCAAAGGTAAGTAGCAAGTTTGCGCATCACTACGATTCTAAACCACCCAACCGCAACCTGACATGATGAATCCCCTTTTTTATTCGGAGCCCCACGTGCCCCCTTGCCGCAGCGTTAATGAAGTACCTCTCCAGGCCCAAAGATTGAAAACCAGCACTCTTTGGCATTGCACATTTGGATGTGTATTAGTGACAATTGTTTCTCAAAATTTGGGTATCCCAACTTGATTGGTTTCAGTTGGTTTCCCTGGATGTTGCAACCAGTCTTTACATGAAACAGAAGATGTACGCTATCGGATATCGTATTTTGCTCGGTTCGCAGTGTCTACGCTTGACCCAGAGCCATTTTGCCGGTGCTTTCAAGCATCGTCAACGACGCATTTTTGCTTTATCCAGTGACATATGTACGGATTTCCACCCAGATGCTGCCGGCTGCCTCCCTCCGCCTTAATTTTTGGAATGATTTGACACGGCGACGACTTCTCCAATTTACGCAATGCCATCGGCATCTTTCCCTCAAAACCAGCTGCACGTGCCAAGCCTTGGCGCATTGAAGGTGAAACGTCTTAAATTAGACAACTTGATTTTGGGTCTCATTTTTGTAGTTGCACAGCATTTGTTGCGCGAAACTTGGTCACATTCATGACGCCGATCTGTGTGCCCGGGGGGAGCTGGGATACGCCTGAGGCTGGAAGTGAACGGTTGAAGGTGGCGGTGGAGGGCGTGGGTTCGGGCTTCAGGCCCACTCGGACATTCCAAAACATTGGATCCTATAGACCATCGCATACCATCGCCAAGGTGTGGAAACGCAATTCTTTTCACCAGTTGTTTCAGCCAATCGCTGGCACTTGTCGCCTTCTTCGCCCAACGTAACCGAAATGCAGATCAAAACTGGTTATACTTTGTGACCGATTTTCCAATATTTTGTGTATATACATTTTTATACAGATGTAAAATGATTCTTATTCAATGCTTCAAGTTCTGGTAACTACATTCTCTTCTGAAATGTTTTGTTTCAAGAAAACCCGGACTACGTTTAGGTTTCAGCATCAGCCCTTAGGATAGGGAACATGAAATGCCAAGCACGATTGCAGGAGAGCCTTTCAGAAGGGAACGCGCGGAAGGAAACCCAGGCACGAAGTGGCAATATGGAAAAAAAATGTGACACAAACCTACCATGTGAGGATGGTTTCAACCCAACATAACCCCACCATTTTTTCATTTTGGGAGATGATTTGTTAATATGTGTTTTTGTGTTTACCACTTAGTTTACCACATTACATGGAGACAGTTTCACCAAAATATGTTTCCAATGGTTGTTATGTTTTTTGATTTTGCAAAGGACAGCGGAAAAACAACAAAAACAACTGCAAATGGTAGATTGTGGACCGATGCCATGGCCGCAAATTTAATTTAGCATAAATCTGACGGATCCATTTTTTTAAAGCACGATTGATTTGTGGATAGGCTGATCAAATAGAAACAGAAGTGTTTTTTTGTCCGAACGCATGGGTGGCATCTGGAAAACAGTTTGACAAGTAATTATCGAGAAAAAACATTCCCTCCAATAGATGTCTGTCTGTGGCAAAAGAAATTGCCAATATTTGGATATATATATATATATTGATATATTATGATATATTTGGATGTTCCATAGCCATGGTTGCTTGGATGGTATTTCAGATGGTCATGACCCAACGATACTTCAACAATTCCAGCTTTGGGTACGGGTAAATGGAAAATGTCAGCATGCGTTTAACTGGATTGAAAATTGAATTTGATGATTTGGTTGTTGCGTTGTATAGCATTTTTGGGGGTCACAATAGATGGCAATCAGAGTGGCAATGAAATAAATGTGTTAACAACACTAAACACAATTCGGAAAACATATGCTGCATATGCATTGATTTAGTACTGTATTGGTTCAGTTGGAATTTGGGGTACGCAAAAGGTGTCACTTGTTGCTGCACCTGAGGCAGCCATGGTTCAAGGGGTTGACCCTGTTGAATATGAATTTGATTTGTAAAGGACAAACTCAACCTGTTTCACAATGGTTCGGAATTGTTCCATGTTTACGCCGGGTAAATTTAACGTGGCTAAAAATAAAAATAAAAAAAATCACGGACCATGTTAACATACCAAAAAAAAACTGTCTCCGGTACTTCGTTAACATGAAATAAGGAGGAAAGACAAGTCTGATTTTGTTTTTGTTGTTCTCATTTTTTTCAGTCGTTCCCCAGGAATCCCCAAGAACCTTAAGGTTTTGGAAGGAAATTTAAATTAACATAGCACGTTTGGAATTTTGGCCATTGAACAGTATGTATTCATGGGGAATGCAAAGAGGCAAACAGGCCGTCATTAAGGAACTTTAACATATCCTACCTGCAGCACTCGTTTTTGTGCTCAAAGTTGGGCCTTGCTCATCAGGGTCCAAGTCTGGATTCAGCACCAAGAGTGCACAAATCGAGCATTTTATATAAAGAGTTTAATAAAGAAAAAATATCATGTGAAAATACTGATTTGGGATCCATGCCGCTTTGTTCTTTTGGGAAAAGAAATCTTCCTGGGAAGTATGGGGAACCCCAGAAACAAACCAAAGGTTTTACCATGGATATCCTGATATTTTAACATGGCCTACCGGTCCATGATTTGGTGATTCATCTTTTCACCTGTTGGTCATCCGCGGCTAAAAAAACAACCACCAAAGGGCCCAAGTCTGGATTCAGCACCAAAAGTGCACAAATCGAGCATTTTATATAAAGAGTTTAATAACGAAAAAAATATCATGTGATAATACTGATTTGGGATCCATGCCGCTTTGTTCTTTTGGGAAATGAAATCTTCCTGGGAAGTATGGGGAACCCCAGAAACAAACCAAAGGTTTTACCATGGATATCCTGATATTTTAACATGGCCCACCGGTCCATGATTTGGTGATTCATCTTTTCACCTGTTGGTCATCCGCGGCTAAAAAAACAACCACCAAAGGGCCCAAGTCTGGATTCAGCACCAAAAGTGCACAAATCGAGCATTTTATATAAAGAGTTTAATAAAGAACAAATATCATGTGAAAATACTGATTTGGGATCCATGCCGCTTTGTTCTTTTGGGAAAAGAAATCTTCCTGGGAAGTATGGGGAACCCCAGAAACAAACCAAAGGTTTTACCATGGATAGCCTGATATTTTAACATGGCCCACCGGTCCATGATTTGGTGATTCATCTTTTCACCTGTTGGTCATCCACCGGTAAAAAAACAACCACCAAAGGGTCCAAGTCTGGATTCAGCACCAAAAGTGCACCACCAAGTCTGGGGTTGGGGTGGGATAGGGCATGTTAACGTTTCATGTAACTTGCATGCGCTGTGGATGCTTCGCAGCCCTGGGGTTGGGGTGGGGTGAGGCATGTTAACGTTCCATGTTAAAATTGCTCTAGTTTACACTCTTTTTGTGTTTCACTGCTCAAGTTTAACCTGGAATAGTATTACATGTTTCATGTTAAAGTCAAGGGTGTCTTCGGCTGAGTGGATCGTAGAAGATGGTGGGTCGGCCACTTGCGCAAAACCCGGAAAGGGGAGTACGGGAAGAAAAAAAGGCGCGGTACTTTAACATGGAACATGGCTGACACACTCATTGTTTGCTTTTTTTAGGCCATGTTAATGTGAAATCAGGGTTTTTGGATTGTTCATGTTTAATTGATCTGGTCTGGAAAGGCCTGCCCAGGTGTCAGGTTTAAGCTGAGTTGGATAGGATGTCGGCAGCTTTCAGCATCATCCAGTATATATGACTTCCCCAGGAGTCTTCGATGAACGGGGGCTATGTTAATATCTTGGTTTTTTGTCCTCCGGTGCTACGTTAGATTTCACCGGCGTAACTGTTTTTTTTCCATGGTGTTGATGGATCTGTTCGATGAAATCCACATTTGTTGAAGATGCAAACAAATGCTGTTGGTATTTCCGCCCGAATCTAGCTTTGCCAATCTGTTTTTGGTTCCCTTTTATTACCTCAAAACCTCAAAGTCCGACCGCAACAAATCCCAGACAATCATCCAGTTCCAAAAAAATCAACCTGCCACTTATCATATGCCAGTATGATTTTTATTGTGTGTTTACATTTTCTCGTCTATCACCGATTGGTTTTCAATCATAAATCTGGCAGTTATTGCACATTGAAATGTGTTTATTCAAATAACACATATGTGTAGTAAAATTGAATACGCACAATTCAATATCACGATGGTTGGTTCTCCATATAAGTATATATATATATATACACATTCATTATCTCCCCATATAGATATTTTTCATGATATCCCATATAGTAGAACTGGTGTTCATCGTGGATATCCATCATTATGTGTTTGGTAATCAATATTAAGCCCCCTACCCGATGTTGTTCCAACATGGTGCACTTTAAACTGCGCGGCGTTGTTCTGTTCGCGCCGCCGGTGCTGGCGCGGCCTTTGCCCAGAATCGACGAAGAGGACTGCCCGGGCAGGCACCCCTGGTGGATGATGTTTTTTGGGGGTTCAACCATCATTTATGTGGGTATAAAACCGTCAAAACAGATGTGGTAAACCCAAAAATAAACTATTCCCAATTACTAGAGGTTTATGATGGCATTGTCTTTTTTTTGCGGGATACGATTGGTATGTTTGATGTTTTAAAGGTGGTGCAATCCTGCTTTGACCAAACAACATTCGGGAATTTGCCCACCAGAACCCATAATTGAAGCAACAAAAATGGGAGTTAAGCAACATCAATGTGGACTCCAAACAAAAGGAAATTGAAGTTCAACACCACATGTGGGTTTGGGAGTAAGGACAAAAACATTGGAATATATATATATAGAGAGAGAGAGATATATATATATATATACATACACATCAAATGAGGGGATCGAAGGAAACCAAAACGTTCAGATCACCAGCCCAGGGGGGTTCAGGGAGTTTAGCCGGCTGCCAAAAAAATACTGTTAATATACATTCGTCTATGATACGATATGGTACATTTCACGATTTCAATTGATTTGATGATTCAAATTCATGCAATCTGGGAAAAATAGCATGTGGATCATGCCATTGGATACCCATCAATGTCGGAATTTAACACATCCAATAGCAAAGAGTACTCAAAAAAATTTCAGCCAACAACATGACTAAGAAACAAACAGTATTCGATGTAACCAACCATCTTAGTTCCATTCGCGGCGAGAGTTGACGATGAGTAAACAACGCCTATAGGGTATATGAGTCATGCCTCTGCTGAATTTTGATCATCTACATAGTTCAATTTTTTTTGGGTCATTGGAGATGTTGATTGAGTTGAAAAAACCTCATAGTTGTCTCCTTGCAAGATACGGTTTAATTTCATTTAATTTCTGTTTTGATATGCTAAAACCTACATGGTGATTCGATACATACCCAACAAAACTGTGAACATATGTGTCAATTATTGAAGGCTGAATATCGTCAGTTGTCAGATCTTCAGAGTTTTGCTGGGATCCGATCACCATTTTGTTGGTTGCTATGTATTTCTCATGTTGGACCAGGCACAAATCACAAATTCCATCGTTCAGCAGCTTGCGGGCACCTAGGGAATCAGCCTCGAAGTTGGCCCCAGCTATGTTTGCTATTTTACAAACCCCATTCACCATAATGTGGGTAAAACAATAATCAACCACTCATTTGGGAATGGTTTATAGCACCTATAGCACATATTAATGGTGATTTGAGGTTTTAAGATGATGGTGGTTTGCGATATTCATATTTAGGGGGCTTTCTAAAATGCGGGAGCCCACAATCATGCAATGATTTTGGCATAGCACAGCAGAAACCCTCCTCCCAGGGTCATCCGTCGGCCAATACGTGATATATATATATATTATCTATATTCTGTGTTTGTTGGTTGAGTCCCTTTTGTTGTTGTTGATGATGATGATGGTGAAATTCTGCTATGTGTTGGCAAAAAAACGTCAATTTTTGTTGATGACTCATGGTTGAAACATATCACACGTGCAATCAAAATTGAATCTCGACAGATCGTATGAAATTTACCTATCTCAGGGGTCAGCTGTGCTACTGATTCTCTCCATGTTTGCTGATGAATTTGTTTAGAGAGCGGGTAGTCATGGGGGGCGAGGTTGTGAAAGTCCTGATTTTGTTTTATTAGTCATTAAATTCATCATTATATCAGTCATTACATTAATCATTATATTAATCATTATAATATTCATTATATAAGTCATTAAATGAACCATTAGATTAATCATTATATTTATTATGATATGAATCATGATATTTTTCATCATTATATGTATATATATATATGTAAAATCATTTTATTAGTCATTTTATAAACCATTCAAAAAATCATTCAAATTAATCATTATATTTATCATTCTATGAACCAATTATACCATTCTATTTATCATTCATTAATCATGATAATAATCGTTATATTAGTCAATAAATTAAAAAAATATGTCAGCCATTACATAAATCATGATATTAATCATGTTATTTGTCATTATATAAGTCATTAAATGAATCATGACATGAATCATGATATTTGTCATGAAATGAATCATTATTTTAGTCATTGTACAGAAAATTGTACTAACCATTAAATTAATCATTAAATGAATCATCATATGTATAATCATGATTTTAGTCATTATTTAAATCAATATATCTGTATTTGTATTAACCATTATATTAGTCATTCAAAATAATCATTATATTATTCATTTTATTAGTCATTGAATTAATCTTTTTACTAGTCATGATATTCATCATTTTTCATCATGATATGAATCATATTAGTCATTTTATAAATCATTGTATTAATCATTATATTCAACATTATATTAATCATAAAATTAATCATTACATTACGCATTGTTTATATTTATATATTCATTCAATTAGTCATTAAATAAATGATTATATTAATCATTAACTTAATCATTATATCAATCATCATAATCACAACTATGTTAATCATGAAATTAGTCATTTTATTAATCATCATGTTAATCATAATAGTAATCATTATATTAGTCATTATATAAGTCATTAAATGAATCATTACATAAATCATTCTATTTATCATTATATGAATCATGATACTAATCATGCTTTTAATCAGTATATTAACCATTATATTAGTCATTATATAAGTCATTAAAAGAATCATTAAAAATATTTATCATTCTATGAATCATGTTATTAACAATTGTATTAGTCAATAAATTCAAAAAATATATCAGCCATTACACAAATCATTATAGTAATCAGTATATTAGTCATTATATGAGTCATTAAATGAATCATGAAATGAATCATTATATGTATCATTATATGAATCATTTTCATAAACATTTTATTAATAACTATATTAGTCAGTGTATTAGTCATTATATTAATCATTTCATTAATCATTATATTAAGCATTATTTGAATCATGATATTAATCATTAAATTAAGCATGAAATTCATAATTAAAACAATGATTACAGTGATCATTATATTGATCATTATATTAGTCATTTTATGAACCATGATATTATTTTAATAAATCATGATATATATATATATAATCATTATATTAGTCATGATATAAGTCATTAAATGAAGTTTGGTTTTCCATGATTTTTTTTTGCAATTTGGCCTGGGGGGCGCAGGTGTGCAAATTGTAGAAACACGCATTTTTTGAGAGGTACTGTGATGAAAGCAAATTCACATGAAAAACATGCAAAAAAACTATGGAAAAAAAAAAAAATCAGACCCATGGGCAAGATCTGGGGAGAGGCCTGGCTGGGGACATGGGTCTAAAATTTTTGTTTTTTTGGTTTTTCCATGGTTTTTTGCAGTTTGGCCAAAACCTCGAGAAAACCAAAAAAAAACAAAAAACAAAAACAACAAGTTCAGACCCATGGGCAAGGTCTGGGGAGAGGCCTGGCTGGGGACATGGGTCTGATTTTTTTGTTGTTTTTGTTTTTTTTTGGTTTTTCCATGGTTTTTTTGCAGTTTGGCCAAAACCTCGAGAAAACCAAAAAAAAACAAAAAACAAAAACAACAAGTTCAGACCCATGGGCAAGGTCTGGGGAGAGGCCTGGCTGGGGACATGGGTCTGAATTTTTTGTTGTTTTTGTTTTTTTTTGGTTTTTCCATGGTTTTTTTGCAATTTGGCCAAAACCTCGAGAAAACCAAAAAAAAAAAAAAATCAGACCCATGGGCAAGGTCTGGGGAGAGGCCTGGCTGGGGACATGGGTCTGATTTTTTTGTTGTTTTTGTTTTTTTTGGTTTTTCCATGGTTTTTTGCAATTTGGCCAAAACCTCGAGAAACCAAAAAAAAAACAAAAAAAACAGAAAGTTCAGACCCATGGGCACGGTGTGGGGAGAGGCCTGGCTGGGGACATGGGTCTGATTTTTTTCCATTGTTTTTTTTGCATGTTTTTCATGTGAAGATGCTTTCATCACAGTAGTTCTCAAAAAATGTTCGTTTCTACAATTTGCACACCTGCGCCCCCCATGAGTACCCCTTCTGTTTGTTTATCTGGTTGATGGTTTCAAACATGGCTTTTATTTTCCATTTCATATATGGACTAATCCTTCCTATTGGCGAACTCATGTTTTTCAAGGTGGTTAAACCATGTTAAACCCACTAACCAGTTATTGATGAACACTTGCAGATTGCCAATCTACATCGGGTAATCCATAGGTGAGTCGTTGTATTGCCCATGGAAAAAAGGCCACAACTTCAGGGTTCATCCTAGCCACGTTCAGAGGCATGGCGAGGTTGGCCCCATTGGCAACCAATGTTTGAGCCCTACCATGTCATACCCATTTATATAACGGTCACATGTGGAAACCCATTCCAAATTCCATCCAATATATGTTTCATGATCTGGCCGGTGATTTTCTTGCCAGAAACGGGGGTATCCAGCTATCCATTTTTTGCTCAGACAAACCCATGATACCAAAATAAACTGAAACATAATAAACAGACAAACCATTGCTGTCCCCATTTTTGGTGATGAACACTTCCCAACAAAATCAAAAAAATGGCAGGTTAGATCGCTTCTGTCATCATGAATCATTTATAGTGAATCTCCAAACTTGCTGTCAAGTTTGGCCATGGGTATCCATGGGTATCCCAAATCCTGTCAGAGGCCAACCCCGAAATCTGAAAATTGTTCCCCTATCATAGATGTTTTTTTCCAGGATATCATACCATTCAAGGTGATGCCCCCTCAGTTGCAAGTGGTTTATTAGATTTTATTAGTATATTTAATTATATGTATGTGTTTAGATATAGATACATATAGTACAGTAATTACATAAGTGTTTGGAGTTATAAACTAATTTTACGATCTATAGAGAAGTACTTTGCTAGAATAGCCATCCATCACTTTGTTCATCCCTGGCCTCTTGCTTTACCAGGACTACCTGCGCCCCATTGACGTGGTCCAACGTTTTCTGGGCAAAGCTGGTGGCTCAAGCTGCGAACTGCCCAAGGTGGACGCCAGCAAACTCAGCTGGGAAAGCCCAGTTGATCCAATTGATCCAATGTTTGGGGAGAACTTGATCCAATGTTTGGGGACAAGAGATTTTCATGCTAGTATTGAACATTTGGATAGAGTTTACAAAAAAAATCACTTTTGACAAACTTAAGAGGGACAATGTAAAGTTTCATTTATCCTCAGCTAAGGTATACCGTATACAGTATATGTATAATATACACATTTTTTTGAATTATACCCAGCCAGCAAAATTTATCCAGAAAAATGTATCCCTTCCGTCGATTTGATTGTCATAATTTCCCGTTTACAGAGTTCCGGCTGCATTTCATACTAGGGGTCTGGTTTCATCTCCTAAAAACATGTTATGCAACTAGAATTCTGACTCCCTGAAATTAGGTAATATACCATAATGTACCTATATTATATATTTATTGTATACACAAAGTGGGGCCCCTAGTAGATATCTAAGTTGACTTTATAACTTGCTGATTTCTAGGTTTATGGGGCGCATAAATGGTTACGTACAGTTTAAGTATGGTCTATGGTTTATTGTTGACTTATAATTTGGTTTGACTTCTAAGTTGGCTAAATTAACTTATAACCCGTCTTATTCATGGGGTTTATAAACCAAGAGACATCACTGCTCAGATGGGCCATGGGAAAAATCGGCAGAACGCGATTCCTAGTTTGACAGTGGTTTGAAAACCTGAGAACAACGAGTCCATTCCATTTGCTGTACAAACAAGTCCAATCCATTTACGAACTATAAACGAACTATAGCCAGAACTACTGCCCCAAGGTGCTGATGACTTTGAAGACCTGGCGCAGCAGCATCCGGGAGGCCTCGTGCTGCAGTGCCTTTGGAAAACTCGTGGATTTCAAGGATTTCAGCAGCTCTATTGTAGATCAATACTAGGGATTAACAAACATAACAAACTGGTGATGTAAACGGTTCGGGGATGGACACATTTTGATAACTTTTAAACATGTTTGATGAGGATTCATCAAGCGAAGCATATTTGAAAAAGACCAGTTGCGCAACAGATATGGTTGGTTGGCTTTGGGCCCTGAACAGATCCATAAGTCAACTGGCCATTGAAACACTGTGAACGTCATGATGAAACAAAACGTGTTTGGGTTTAACGACCAGATGGGGACACGCCATGTTGGGGTAAAAAGCCGAGCCGTTGGTCTGGAGGGATATGAAAGGAGCTGGTAATAGAGCTGGTGTTTGAATCCATGGAAGAACAATAAAGGTTTTGACCTACAGTTGAACAAAGATGAACAAAGAACATGTTGACAGTGAAAAGATGAACACCATTTGTTGCCGATGTTTTTCATGAACGGTTTGTTGTGTTGAGGTAAACCAAAAATGATGGGCTTTTGATGGCCAACCGAACCGGATTGGGATCTGACTTGAATGGATGTGGGGATCAAGTCAAATCATTTTCTGGTTGGTGGTCTCTCAAACATGGCTTTTATTGTCCATATTTTTCTGGGGATAATCCTTCCCATTGGCGAACTCATATTTTTCAAGATGGTTAAAACCACCAACCAGTTTTGTAATGGATTAGGCTATAGTGGACTCGGTACTGTCATCCATAGTCATATTGGTATGGATCAATACCTATTAATACCATTTTTAGGGGGATGAACATCCATTTACCAGCTATTTTGATGTTCACCAGGGGTACAAGGTTTTGACACACTGCCATATTTTGCATCAGATCCCACTTCCGCAACTATCGATGAGAGTTCCCCCCGCGTTTTCCACACATCTCCAGTCAACAGATCCAAATCATTCCCACCAACAGTTTGCCGACCTGGTCTAACTGTTCCTCCAATATGAAGGGTTTCACACTGAGATGGTGCATCCATAAGGTGACTTCATGAACTCCACGCATCTCCAGATGAGACATGTCTGTCACTGATTCCATCCAAAAGAATGAGACAATGGCCAAGTGGGTATGATGGTCAAACAGATGCTAAGATCTGTTCAACGAGTTCTTTAACTTGGCACAATGATAGTTCTTAAATGATGTGATGGAGGTGTAATTTCGAAATCATTATTTATATAATATTAACATATAATATAAAATATCTTATAGTATATTGTATTTTACTTTATTATAGTATATGATATGATATTATATTGCAGTATATTAGATTATATATATGGTTCTAATTCAGAGGGAACACATGATCCCAAGTATTTTTTCCATTGACCACATCATATTTTATTGTGGGGCCCCAGTTCGGTGAATTTTCCGTGCCACCCTTCCCGACCATCGCAGCAAGGAATTTGCAGTGGCTGAAGCCCGAGGATTGGACCAGAGAGACGTTGCTGAAGCGTTTCGGAGCGGGGAGTTGGGGCCAGAAACAGGGAGCTTTCAAGTCTGGGTGGATTTCACTGCTGATTTCATGGGAAATTCGGCAACAAAAACTGGTCGAATGGGGATAGAATACAGTGTGGGGCCCCCCCAGTGATGTGAACGTTGGTTTAGATTCGCCCCAGCATATATAGTTATTTGCGTACCATAAACCATACAATGTGAGACCCCCAGTTATAAGTTGGTTTAGATTCGCCCCAGTAACTACTATATAGTTATAACTATATAACTACCATAAACCAGTTCGTGAAATTGGAGTTATAAACGCACCAACTTTTGACGCTCTCGAACGTCCGGGGCCAAACATTTCCGTTCCGGATTTCCTGATTTAATCTGGAGAGTTCGAAGGGTCTAGTACCCTCTGGTAAACATACCAAAAAACTATGGAAAATCACCATGTTTAATGGGAAAACTCACTATTTCTATGGCCATGTTCAATAGCGGTGGTGGTTCCAATCACATCCTCCTCTTGTAGCCATCATCCGCCTTCATGGAGGCATTAATCATTAATCCCTTCCCCCATCTTCCCACTAATAATACGTTAAAACGCTGTAAATGCTTCTTGAATATTGGTACCCATATAGTAATATATTTCAATAACATGATGTAACCAGTAGACACATTATCCCCATTATATTACATATACATATGATATCCCCATTTTTTGCGGATGGTTCCAACCCCAGGAGCCCATTGGATCTCCAGCGGCAGCGGACGCTGGGACCGTCCCGAAGCAACGCCCGAGGTGCGGCTGAAGGACTTCGCGGAGGTGCGACCTGCAGGGATTTCCTCACGTTTTCTCTAAAAAGATAGGGAAAATTGATGGGTTCATCTATAGATCTAGGTGTTAGAGATTTTAGAGATTTTAGAATTCTAGGTTTTTGATGGTTTTTGGTTTTATTAGTTCTAAGGATTTTGGAGGGATTTGTGTCGGGATTTGATGATTGGTGATGATTTTTTTTGGGGGGGACATTTCGAGGGATTGGGCATAGAAAGCCCTGCCCAAAAAGATGCCGAAAAGTGCTTCCAGGAGGTTTCCCACTCTACCTGATGACTTGGGGTTGCTATACCCACTTCATAGGAACATAGTAAGTCTATGTATTGGGATTTTCACAGGGAATTATATTCTTCTTGGGACCCCAAGAGAGCTAAGTTGGTGAACATAACTTCTATAGATATGGTTTATGATTGATATCGATAAATTTGACTGAATAATTCGCAACTGCAACTACCCTTTGGTAATCAAACATGGGAATGGAACACATTCATTGATGATTTTGTCACCAAATCCTCCGTTTGTTGAGAATTTCCCGGCACGCCATGTTCGATTATGTGCATGATCCACTTATTGGATATGTAAGTTTTTTTTGTAGGGCTATGATACCCACTTATTTAAGAGGATCCCCCACTTATGGGATTCAACAGGCTGCGAAAAAAGAGGCTTTGGTTACTTTGGTTCCCTATGAAATATCACCATTTACATCCTAATATAGTCTCAATTACATCCAATCATGATATGATTCATATCCACATTCTTTAAGTGATATATTCCATGAAATCCAAATGAACCCCCAGCAGCTACCCGGTGGTATTTTCCAACCGCAGGTAGCTGCTGGCACGGCCAAAAGCTGGGTCGCCAAAGGCGATGCAGATCGATTCAGCGTCAGAAAGTTGGGATGGAAACACCAACAGAGTCTGGGCGTCGTACAATGGGGGATATCTCCATATATGGGATATATTGATATAGATGTGTGGGATATAATTGATAGAATTTGATATAATCATTATAATCATGAAATATTATATAGTAGTATATGGGGCTTGATAATCTCTATATGGGATATAAGTTGATATAATTTGATATAATGATTATGAAGCCCCGGTAGATTGGAAGAGTTGGAAACCTGGATTTGTGGAAACATCGAACTGGAAACACTCAACATTCGGTATCGTTAATTGGGTATTTTTTGGTATGCTATATGATTAGTTGGTAATTACCTTGCAGGGACTTCAAATGGGGTTTAATGGAAATAAGTGTTGGGTATAAAATGGGCATAAAATGGTGCGGGATACTGACCATACTTATGTATACTTAGTATACTGACCATACTTGGGGATGCAGTAGAGGGTTTTGAATGGATCTAACACTGGGAATCTAAGCCGCAAGCTGGGAAATGCGGCCCCTACAACCATTGTGAAATATAACCGCTTAGCTCACTGGAATTGCGCCCCAAGTCGGGGCAGACCTGATGGGCGGACCATTGGATTTAATGGGGAGATGATGGGATTATAAAGCAACAAACATCGCAGGGCCCGTTCCTGTAGTCTTAAGGATCTTCTTTTCTGCAGTATTCAGAAAAAAATCTGACTTGTGAATGATGTGAATGTAACTTGCCCCAAATCCTGTGTTAAAAATGCATTGGAAGGCTTGGAAACCATGCCTTCGTCTTGGGTGCTAAGTTTGTATGCCGGTCTGGCGCCATACCACCGCATCCTTTTTTGGGTCCAGACATGTCCAGACCATTCAGCCGGTTTGCACCCAGGGTTGCTTTGTACAGAACGTGGGTGAACGTATCGATCCATGCAGTGATACCAGAGTGAGGTGACCACCCCAGTGATACCAGACGATGAAAACGGTGTGTGATTTAGAGACCAGGGTTTTCCGGTGAATAAAATCCTAGATTTTGATGAACATTCGATGAACATCTTCTATGATGAGGCTCGTGTATGATTCCGTGTGAATTATATAACAACAGTAAGGGTGACTGTCCCAAAATCTTCCGATTTATCGATTTGAGTTTGGTAAATTACTCAAAATCAGCCAGGTATATGCTCCGACCACATCAAATAACTCATGCAGAATTTGATCTCATCCATTCCAATGTGTTCATCCCGTGATATTTTATGCCAATCAAAATGGAATCATAACTTGCAACTGCTGCAACTACCAATATCAAATACATCAAGTGCCCTTCGGTGACCCCAGACGATGGCAGGCTACACCCATGAAGTGGTTTCGACCGCCTTTTGGGGCTTTGAGGTTCCGATGTTCCGCAAAGTGCTGGTTGAAACCTGCATGACCACCAACTGGTTATCTATTTATCTTACGTTGTGTGTGTAGCCTCTGTAGCCACTAATATCCACTAATCATATTATCTGGTTGGCGGTTTCAAACATTTTTTTAAATAATATATGGGATGTCATCCTTCCCATTTATTAATATGTTTCAAGATGGTTAAAACCACCAACCAGTTATTGTCTTGGCCAAGTGTTGCTTTTTTTTAATGCATAAGTTCGGGATGGGGATTGCAATGGGGGTGCTTATGTCGATGTCCTGTTTGGCAACTGGCTGCGGGTCCAGTGATTGGCGTTGGTGTATGAAGCGATGAAAATTGGTCAGATATTGTTGAATGCACAACAATGATACAATGGATGTGGTATGGAATAGAAAACAAGAAGGATTCATAATCTGGTTGGTGGTTTGGAACATGTTTCATTTTCCCCAATAGTTGGGATAATGATCCAATCTGGTAATGGATATAGTATGGAATGGCTTGTAATGTCGCCTTCTTGTTGAGCGAGAAAAACGATCCTGGGGGCCCCACATTGTAGCCATGTTGTCTCGTTGATGCCCTCAAGATAATCCCAACAGTATCATAGTATTGTTGCTTAAATCCAATGGCTTTATAGTTGCCTTATAAGTGGCTTTATGGTAGATATAACTATAGTTAATAGGGGTTATAAGTTATAATGGTTTATAAACACACTTATAACTGGGGGGGGCCCATCAGTGACACATCCCCATTTTGGCTCATGGTTCATCTCAACACACATTGTACAGCCAAGAATGTACAGTTTTCAATGGTTAACCCCGACAGAGTGATGGTGAACTGGGTGAACTCTAGCATTTTTTGGGATGGTTAAATCCCATAGAATGAGAAGCCCAAAACGTACCCATATTGTTTGGATCCCATCTCATGTTTGACTCTAAAATCACCATCCTCACAAATCATGTAATATATACATAATCATCAGGAAACATACATAAATTCCAAAGAGATGTTGGTTATGTATCCCATCATATCACATCCCAGAAATCTCATTTGGTGCTCCACCAGCGTTCTACGGGCCCCGTCCCGTAGGGCAACTGCTCTGGTCCTGTGGTGGCCAATTGGCATTGCGGCCAAGCGGGCGCCCGGCTTTTCGTTGGGGGCACCCAGGGGTGGTAGTGCCCTGGCTAGCTAAGTTGGTTAGGGGAACCAATGGTTTCATGGATCTTTATGGTGATGAAATGGAAAATTTGAATAAATTTGATATGTGTGATTACCCTTTGGTAAACGTTTACATAACTATGGAAAATCACCATTTTCAATGGGTAAATCCACTATAAATGGCAATGTTCAATAGCTATTTTGACATAACCGGAGGGTATACTGCCTGGTTTATTGGATATGATCATCCACTATGGTAATCTCTAACCAGTTGCCCCAGGGTAAACGTCGACATAGACCTGGGAAACCAATCGTTTCCTCGGGAAAATCATCTAGAAATGATGGGGTTGTCCACAGCTATGTTAGTTAACAGGAGGGTATATCGATGTTTTTGCTGTACCTAAGATATTCTGAGATTATCCGGTGTTTGGGGGGATAACGGATGGGGGTTTATGGATGTTTCTGGCAGATGTATCAATGTTTATTGCAGATATTGGATGGATTGTGGCAGATTTGTTCGCTTTCCGCTGGTATGATGGATGGATGTTTATGGATGTTTATGGATGTTTATGGATGTGTAGGGTAGATGTGGATTCAGATAAACATCCAGTGTAACATCCAGCGACAGTTTTGAGTAGTCTGCGTTGGCTACAGAAGGGTCTTCTGTAAAGAATTAAACATACAAGAAGAAAAAAATACGAAAAAAAACAACTCAAAAATACAAAATCTGAATTGCAGGGTTTGGAAAATAAAACAGGTTGGCTTTGCATTTATTTTGCAAATTGGTTCTTGCTTTTCAAAATGAACATGGGGTTGGCTCTCTGGCTCATTTTTGAATTTGTTTTTTTTTTATTATTATTATTATTTTGCATTTTTGAAATGTTGGGTTTGTATTGTTTTTTGCATTTTGTATTTTTGATTTGTTTGATTCGTATGTTTCTTGTATTTTGTATTTTTTGAGAAATTGCATTCGTATTGTTTTTTGGTAAAAAAAAATACAACACCAAATTAAAAAAACAAAAACAAAAACAATACAACACAAATACACTTTGTATTTTTTCGTATTTGTCCATTACTTCCAAAAAGGTTTTGTATTTTTTTTTGTATGTTTCCATTCCTTCACAGATTGCACTGTGTCCTTTTGTATGTTTCGTTCTTTAGACATGCCGTCAAAGAACAAAACAGCGAATCCACTAATGTATGTTGTATTTCCCTTTTGTTGATGATTTTGCCCCCCCCAGTGTTGTATTTGTTTGTAATTTGGGTTTGTATTTGTTTTGTAATTTTTATGATTACAGAGGTTACAGGCTGTAGCCAGCACCCGACTACTCAAAGCTAGTTGGACTTAGTTTTTTTTGTTTTGGCTAAGCGATGGCTGCTTTATGGATGTATGGAGAGACGAGCGGGGTAACCAGGCAGCCCGGAATGGGACAGCCTGAAATACACCAAATAGGCTACCGGATAGCTGCTAGGGTCGCTTGATCTTCAGACAAACTGAGACAAATTATTGTTGAAATAAGATTCTCTATAACATTCTATAACTATATAATACTACAAGATTGATACTACGTAAGGTCAATACTAAGTAATACTATTACACATACAAATAACTAATACTAAGATATATTAAGATGAATACTAAGATTATATAATACTACATAAGATTATCTAATACTGGGTACATACACAAAGATTATCCAAGATGAGTACTGTTGAAATCAGCAAACCAATGCTCATGGAATGCTGCAGCTAATCGATTCCCATCTCGCAGGGAGATCCCCAGTTATATGAGTCGTACTAACCACTGATCATATATCTTCACTTGGACTCCGTTCCAGTGCCTCTTTTGGCTCTTCTTCACTCTTAAGTCGGAACAATTGTAAAGATGACACTGTTTTTTTTCCAGCCATGACTCAGCACCTGAAGATTTTTTTGACATACGACACAACACTGATGCTTGGACCATAGAATCGGTTCAGCGACACCACTTTGTAGTTGTCCCATGGAAAGCAGGCCCCTGAGCGAGCAAGTGCCTCACACGTTCATCAGACTTCAGGTCTCCCTGCCAAGTGGCCGGTGTGAAACTGTCGTGGTCTCGCAGTTTGGCACCGTTGCTGATTTGAAACTAGCTGCACAACGGTCTTTCGGGCAAGGTTTCCTGAGGCTTGCTGCGTCTGACGGGTGTCTTTTAGATCTAGCAGACTCTCTTGAACTTTGCGGGTTTCAAAATGGAGAGCCTTACCGCTGTTGCACTGCAGCCAAAGGTAGCTGCAACATGGAGTGCGTTTGCTTTGTGGTGTCTCGGAGGTGATAGAGTTATCGCGTGAGGCGATCCAGATCGTGGTGGGGACAGCTCCAGTCCAGAGTCCAGGATCAGCTGAGGAATGTGCAGCAGATTTGTGGAACAGACTTTGCTTTTGCTGCGATTTTGGCAGATGGAAGCGTGGTGACATGGGGCAATCCATCCCGTGGTGGTGACAGCACCAGAGTCCAAGAGCAGCTCAAGCACATATAGTTGGTGGTTTGGAACATATTTCATCATTTTTCCATATTGGGAATTTCATCATCCCAACTGACTCATATTTTTCAGAGGGGTAGGCGGTAGGCGGTCAACCACCAACCAGATGAGAAAAGAAAGCTCTGGAATCATGGGGTAGGTCCCGGAACCAGGTGCCACGCTTTTATGGATGTGCTCGGTGTGAATGACTGGATGTTGATGACACATAAAATGTCATACAACGGCAGTATGGAGAAAAATGTCGGGTTGGTGGTATTCTCATTTCCCTTGGGTCCGGGGCTCATTGCTGGATCCAAATGGGGATTTGCAGCCATGACTACAGAATGGCTTGCTGCCCGGCTGCTCAATGTTGACAGGCGATGGACACTCTTGTATTACGGCCCGGGGGGAAAATGAAAAGAACCAAGATGTCTATGTCCTGCAACGTACATGATTGATCATGTAATGCAAGCGGCTGCAGATAAAAAGGGTGCAAGGCAGAATCGGATGTTCTGGTTGGACAATTCCTTGCTTGTGGGGCGAGGGTCTTGCAGTAGGGAACAAGAAAACAATTGCATTTGTTTTTATCAACAACATAATATATATTTGGGCGTGACTGAACATGTGGTATATCGATCCAATTGCAATTTAGTGGTGAACATGATATGATTATCAACCGACAGACATTTCAGCGACCTCTAGATGCAATGCTCCTCCCTCAGGATTGAAACATGTTCACAACAGAATTCAATCATCCCCCACCCTTGGTAGTTTAATCAATGGTTTAATGGATAATCTATGGAAAATAACCAGAAGGTTTTAAAACCTGTTCTTTCTAGTTTGTTGCTATTGATGGAACATAACCAGAACCAGCAAAAGCTGGAATTTTTGTGGAATACCAAAGATTGACCGTGTACTTGTTTTCCAGTTGTTGACCATTCACCTGCAGTGATGATCCCCATGACTCTTCATGATGGACACCACCTTTTTCGTAGAAGAAACGGACCAAAAAACGTGGATTTTAACAGTGAACATTGGCTTGAAACACCCCAAAAAAAGGGTGATTTCACCGAACCAGGTGGGGGATTTGAGGCTGACCAACGAAGTTGTTGCCATATATGTTGCCATCATCTTTCCTCACCCAAAGCAGCTCTTTTCCAAAAAAAAACTCAAGATCTCTTCCACCTCCCATTTTTCACCATAGCTTTCCTTGGTTTTCCTATGATTTTTCTCCGTTCCACCAATGGTTTTCCAATGGGTTTCCAACCAGCGTCCCGGGCGTTGTCGAAAACGAGGCCGGCTTCGAGAAGCGTCCCACGCTACAACTGGGCATGTCCTTGGCCTCGGGGACGCAGCTGCACCGCCATGAGGCGTTTTAGCGGTTTCGCCCTCCGGTGGATGGTGGTTTTCTATGGTTTTCTTTGCCAAAAACGATTGGTTGTTGAAGAACACTGGGATAAACCACGAAATGTGTTGAAATGTTGGAAATGGGATACGATTGTTCCCAATTGTTGGGATTATAACATGCTTATTGAATTTACTTTGCTTTTATGGGATATGAAATGGGAATAAATGGGATATAATTATCTAACTAAACCAGCCAAGATGGAAAAAAAACATTGGGGAAAATGTCAACACATTCATAAGATTAGTAAGGCAGGGTATAAACCTTAATTTTGATTATCGGAGGGTATACCAGAACCTGGATTTGCGGTTTGTCGATATATTTGTTCCAATGGGAGATCTACTACTTGGGGAAGATAATTAAGATTAGTAAATTATGTAAATTTAAATAAGTTTAATCACTTTGGAGAAGCCCCGAAATGAGTCAACTATTAAGGGTCTATTGATCCAGGGTTGACATTAGATGGTAGAATACCATTGAAATGATGATATTTCACCACTTCTCTCTCTCTCTATATATATATATTTATAATATAATAGGACATATACAGGTAAATGAGGTTCACAAGAAGCAACATTTTTGCAGGACTGGTGTAATTTGAAAAAAAGAAAACCAGTGTATTTCCAACTTGGGACTCGACCAACAAAAAGGGAAGTTGGCCAAGAAACCATATACCAATAAGGCCAACCATGTTTCGGATATTTCGACGGAAATCATGTGTCCAGCTATGATTGTTTGCAGTGTATCTATCTAGTCTATAGTACATTTTTTGTATAAGATTACATAACCCACTTACTAGCAACGAAATCGTATCTTAGTGAGTAGTTGATAGCCATTTTGGTAAGTTCCTTACCTAGGACTATCCCATCTATAATTGTGGTAGTAAGAAATCACCACTACTGTATTTTATTTGAGATCATGGTTCCTATTTCGGGGGGGTCTTATATATATATATAACATTATATAACTCGTGGTTTATGTGAACCAAACTATAGATTCTATAGATTATAGTTCTTTCAAGTTGTACCTGGACCTACCGTAAAGCCCAATAAATCATCAATTAAACACTATAAAACCCACTATAAGGTCCCATCTATAGTCCCAACACTGTTCACCACCATAAAATTCCATAAAATCCCATAAAATTCGGAGTTAGAAGTTGGTTTCTTCAATGTAAAGCCCATGAACAACTGCTTATTTGCGGATCATTTGTTCCAACGGTGGATGTAGAGATTCACCGATTCCTTCCAGGAGACCTGGCTTGCCTTGCTTCATGGGATCAAGGCTCTGGACAAAAAACTGGCGTCGGAAGATTCGGAAGAACTGGCTCTAAAGGAAGATTCGGAAACTGGAACCTGGAGGAAACTCGCTTCTAAACCTCTTGGACATGATTTTTTTGGTGAGCAAAAATTGAGATAAGGAAATGATGCATCAATTCTCAGCCATAACTTGAGAAAGGAAATTTCAGGTTCCCAAGCTTTGCGGCATTTGCCGCATTTCGTTTTTAACTTGTATCCATCATGTTTGCTGGTTACATCACGTTGATAAATGATAAAGCCTTTTGTTGACCACGCTATGAAAGTCCCACTAGATCCCCAATAAACCATATTGAACCGCATAAAACCACGATAGAATCCAATAAAATCCCAGAATATTCATAGTATCTCCATGTTAAACACGATAAAACCATGTAAAACCACCAAATCACAGAAAATCCCATAAAATCCGACCATAGAATCTCTGATCATAGTTTCTGTATTGCTTCGGCATAGCTCGTGTTCTGATTTCATCAGAGGCCTGGTGGATCGCGTCAGAGCCGCCATCGGAGGAGGTCGAGCGTGGCCTGACTCCACAGGTGGGTCAAGCCACTAAAGACCTGGGAAACACAGATGATAGGATCCATGGTGCTGGTATATATGCTGACATGAATGGGATGTATTGATGGGATCCATGGAGCACCATAGCAGCACCATGGATCCGTCATGGGGTATTAAGCGTCTAATTATTGGGGTACCTAATTTTGACGCATAGCCACATGGATCCCACATGGTTTATGGCAATTTTAGCTAGAGTCAACGGGGCTTGTTTCCGCAACTTATAACTTGGGGGCCCAACCTTGTATGGAGGTGCGGAAACCCCCAAAATGATAGAAACGTAGAATCCCATGCATGAAAATAGTGAGGCATTCCGTTTCTATCTTTTTGTGGGTTGCTATATAAATGGCAGTGTGTCAAAACCTTGTACCCCTGGTGAACATCAAAATAGCTGGTAAATGGATGTTCATCCCACTAAAAATGGTATCTATAGGTATTGACCCATACCCAAATATGTATGATTATGTATACAGCAATGAAGTAACATCTAAACTGTGTTATTTCTACTGGGGACTAAACAAGCATTTATACTGGTTGGGGCAGGGGTTTTAACTTTGGAAAGATAGGGGATGTAATTGACACATGATGGTCGGTTGATTCCAGCAGGCTGGACCTCCGTATTCAAGTCAATGCTTTCCTCGGCGAACAGGTTGCCGCTGATCTACCCAAACAGTGGTGGTTGTTTGCCCTGAAATGGAGATGCAACCGTCAATTGTGGCCGTTTCAGGAGAAAACGGATGACTTATATTGAGAGTTCATGAAGTGAATTTTGGATAATTTTGGTGGCACCATGTCTTGAGGCAGGCCCAGATATGGACCATTGTTTGTGGATAGATAGTTTGAACATGTTTGAACCTTAATTTTGATTTCGGGATGCCTAGGACACCAATATAGACGGACAAAATTTGTCATGCTTGCCTTGCTGCTGCGTCTGAGGTGAAGAACGAGCCAACACAAGGCATCCGTGCCAGTGGTTGGAGGCCCCGCTAGCTGAAGCCATGGTCTCTACCTTGAAGTGCGATGCAAGGGCCGCGTAAAAAGTCCACAAGGAACCCTTGGGAAAGTTGTTATTGCTTTGCTCCTTTTTGTTGTTGGTTCAAGCTTCGAACATGTTTAATCATGTGGTTTTGCTGCATGTTTCCTGGCGGATTTCTTCGGATTTAGATGGATCGCGGTATCCCTTCTACTCTTTCCAGCCCTTTTTCCATATTGCCATCCACCACACATGAACACGACCCGCCTAAACAATAAGAGTCAATGCGTCCTGAAGAAGGGTTGCTGGTGGTTCACTACTCACAACCCATTTCTAATGGTTTAACTCCTATATCTGCTGTGTAACCCTTCAACCATGGCAGGTTAACAAGCCTTGCGATAGGGTTTGCCGGTGACTATCCGCACCTGTCCATACATTTTGTTGATCCACCAAAATATAGTCATATTTTATGTCATAATCACCAGAAATCCATCGGTTAGCCTGCTCCTACATGAACTTAGCTATCATTCATTTGTCACTAATATCAATCGCATAGAGTCTTTCTTGCAAACAACTCCCAGGATTTCCCATGGATTCCGGTTTTCCTATCCCACAGGATCCATGGTGCTGGCTAACAATTGCTAACATGGATCCCATCAATATACCCCAGTCATGTTAGCATTTTTCTACCAGCACCATGGATCCCATTGGTACTAAGAATCACCTAACATCTGTGTTTCCCAGGTCTTTAGCATATATACCAGCACCATGGATCCTATCGGTATGATTGTCCCATGGTAAGACACCCCAACTGCTGGGGAAAACTCCGCCAGGAGCGACGACCCAAGGGCCTCAGATTCTGCGTCCAGCAACCTGGTGAGGTGGTCTACTTCGCTACGAGGCGGATGGGCTGGGGCGGCACGGGATGCCGTTAAAGGGAGCACGGAACGGCGGAACGCTTGGGAAGTGGGAAGTTGTCAGCAAAAGCTAGAGGTTTTAGATGGTTTTTGTGATGGTTTTAGATGATTTTAGAGCCAATTTTGGATGGTTCTAAACAAGAATCCCATCCCCTTATGTCCATTGAACACCTCCACATGGGCTCAAACATGAAGGACATGGAGGAAACCAAGCTGATCAAGCAGGGGATATCCAAAATCATCAAAATTAAATATTCAATATTTATATATATATATATATAATATGTGCGTGTGTCTCGGTATGAGTGAAAATTGGGTACCCCAACACTTAGATGCTTAAGACATCTTAAGACTACAACTAGATTAAGACTCTGTGGTCCCCAGGTCTTAATTTTTGACCCATTCCCATATGATACTCCCGCAATGAACCCACGGTTCACAACTCATTTGGGGCACTACCGAGATAGGCCTTATGGATGATGCGTTGACACAGTTGACACAGTTGACACAGTGCCCCCCAAGACGAACGCTAAAAGCAGATACACTCCTAAAATGGAGAGTGAAACAAAAACAACAGGTGAAGAAGCTATTCAATAATGTTTAGACCATACGTATACGTATGTAATGACATGTTATGATGTGTAATCTGATGTTATGTTGTGTTATGCAATGTTATGTAATCTAGTTGCTGTGATGTTCTGCAATGCAAAGCAATGCAAGGCAATTTGCAGTTCCCGCATGCATGTAGGCACTTACAACCAACATGAGCTTCAGTGATGGTTAAGCGTCGCTGCGGATCATGGGGGGATGCCCAAAACAACATGAACGCAGCCATAGTGTATGCGGACCCCAAAGCATTGGATGCAGATGGCTCAAAAGGTTTTTTCATCCACAAGTTTGATCGGTATTCCTTCAATGGCTATTAAATAGCCCCATCCAATGGATATGATCCAATAATATTATTGTAGTATTATGGCTATTATTCCCCATAATATCAGAATATTATATAATAATTATATAAGTCGCCAAGTTGTGGTGCCAATGTCCCATGAAACCAGCATTTTCTGGACCCATTCTTCGACTGGATCCAACGTCAGCCACACCTCCGTGCCATGAAACGCAAGGCTGTGAGCAGTCAGGTGGCTGACAATTCCATCAAGCTCGAGGTCTCCCTGCCAAGTGGACGGTGTGCAACCGTCTGTGTCTTGGAGTGGACCATTGGCACCATTGCTGATTTGAAACTCGCTGCGCAACAGTCATTGGGGCAACGTTTCCTGACACTTGCAGCGCCAGACGGACGTCTCTTGAACCCAACATGCTCTCTTCGACTTTCTGGCCTACAGAATGGAGACAGCATCACTGCCACTGCACAGCTGCCAAAGATAGCTGCAACTGCAGGTGGTTTTGCTTTGTGGTGTAGTGGAGGCAACAGAACTGTCACATGGGGGAATCCAGACCGTGGTGGTGACAGCTCCAGGGTCCAACATCAGCTCAGAAATGTTGAGCAGATTTCTCACACAAGCGGTGCTTTTGCTGCAATTTTGGCAGATGGAACCGTAGTGACCTGGGGCGATCCAGACCGTGGTGGTGACAGCTCCGGAGTCCAGGATCAGCTAAGGAATGTTCAGCAGATTTTTGGCACAGGTTTTGCTTTTGCTGCAATTTTGGCAGATGGAAACGTGGCGACCTGGGGCAATCGAGAAAATGGTGGTGACAGCTCCACGGTTCAAGATCAGCTCAGGAATGTGCAGCAGATTTGTGGCACATTCTGTGCTTTTGCTGCAATTTTGGCAGAGGGAACTGTCCTGACATGGGGCCGTCCAGACCGTGGTGGTGACAGCTCCAGGGTCCAACATCAGCTCAGAAATGTTGAGCAGATTTCTCACACAAGCCGTGCTTTTGCTGCAATTTTGGCAGATGGAACCGTAGTGACCTGGGGCGATCCAGACTGGGGTGGTGACAGCTCCAGAGTCCAAGATCAGCTCAGGAATGTGCAGCAGATCTGATTGCGGCAAAAGCAAGGGTTGTAGCACAACCCTTGCTTTTGCCGCAATCTTGGCAGATGGAAGCGTGGTGACCTGGGGCAATCCAAACGAAGGTGGTGACAGCTCCAGAGTCCAGGATCAGCTCAGGAATGTGGAACAGATTTGTGGAACAGACTTTGCTTTCGCTGCAATTTTGGCAGGTGGAAGCGTGGTAGCATGGGGTTTTTCAACGTATTCGGGCTATGCCGCTGATGACATCTTCAGAGTCCAAGATCAGCTCAAGAATGTTCAGCAGATTTCTCACACCAGCGGTGCTTTTGCTGCAATTTTACAAAATGGAAACGTGGTGACATGGGGCAATCCAAATCATGGTGGTGATAGCTCCGGAGTCCAGGATCAGCTGGTGAATGTTCAGCAGATTTGTGGCACATTTGGTGCTTTTGCTGCGATCTTGGCAGATGGATCCGTAGTGACCTGGGGCTCACCAGACCATGGTGCTGACAGCTCGAGAGTCCAAGACCAGTTCTGGTACATGTATATAGGCCCTGTAGGCGTACCTCAGGGCAAAAATAACGCATCCAGCTGTTGGACTTCGGTTGCAGGTGAGCCATTTGTACCATTATGAAACATCAACTGGGATGTCACCAGGTTCCATGCTATGTTCTTTTTTTCCCCGTTATATCTTCGGTGAACATCTTGCTTGAACCAGACAGTTTTGAAAAACACAGGACATCCCCATTCCGCCAAAACATGTCTGGCTTGGCCGTTACTTTCCAAAGTTAATAGATCTTGGATATTACCCTCAAAATGTAAACCTGCATAATACCCACATCATAGCTCTCGAATTTTACAGTATTACCCCGAATAAAGACGGGGTTATCATCCTGGGATTGCAGAAACAATGTGGTTGTTTTTCAATGAGGGATACCGATGAAAATCCATGTTTGATGGACAATACATTACTTGAGCTGTTTATGATCTGTTTGGTTTTGCCACGCATGTTCAGACAAACCCAAATGCCGGATCATGTACCCCATCACAGAAGGAAAACAACAAAACAAATTGGGGTAAATCCCAGTTTGTTCATGCTAAATCCATATATTTTCCATTCCTATGGTTTTCATCATTATCATCAATATTTCGCTATTCATGGGTGATATTCCAAGTTTATCTGCTTGACTCCACATAAACCTATTGTAAATCCCGGTTTAGACAAAACCATATCATATTGTTGGTTGAGTTTATAAAACCACCAAACAAAACTGGTTGGCATACCCCAATGTCATCTCCGAAGTTTCCATGAAAATCCAATATTGGATCTGAACATTTATGGTTTTCAACAACTATCTGATTGGTGGTTTGGAACATTTGGATTATTTGTCCATTCAGGTGGGAATTTCATCATCCCAACTGACGAACTCATATTTTTCAGAGGGGTAGGTTGAAACCACCAACCAGGATTATCATTAACCATCATTAACCATCATTAACCATCATTAACCACCATTAACCATATATTAACCATCATTAACCATCATTAACCATTATTATTAACCATCCTGGCCTGCCTTTAGTATAGTCAAATAATGTCAAATAGTTTTTTGAAGTTTTTTTTCAGAACCGCAATTATTTGAGGTGAAATTGAAACCATACCACTGCCCCAACAAAGAAATGTGTTTCCCCCCAAATTGTAATTGGGTCCAATTGAATTCCTGGCTTGTGTAAATGGTAGTCTAGCCATAAATTATTGATTCTTGATCGTCGGCAAATCGTTGCTATCGGAAACCGTGGTTTCAAATGACACCAAGCTGTTGGTTTAAAGTTGACGTCGGATGATTGACAAATAAATTAATGGTTTTACCCTAAAATGGATCCCTCCCCATCAGACTGACGGATGGCCCCCTCGTTTCGCTGATGTTTTCTGAGGCGTAATGTGGGCTTGAGTGCCAATTGTTTTTTTTTCCAACTGTATCATCCATTATCATCCATGCATAGTGTGGCCAGGGATTGCACAAACTGCTGAAAAAATTGAATGAAATTAGCCGGACCAACTTTTGGGTTCTAAGATGGGTGTAAGGTACCTTTTGACCAGGTTAGCCAACACATTCCCTAAACCATGCAAAGTATGAAAAGAGGGACAAAAGTAAAATTTCAACCTTGTTGTAGTGACTCATTTTGATTTATCTTCAACCTTTATTGTTTGTTCAGCCTTCAAGGAAAAAAAACAACGTCACACCCCCCAAAAAAAACATAACATACAAACGACATCCAAACTACCGTGCATGTTCTCAGCGTTTCACAACACACACACACAACATACAAAAACATAGCCAAAACATGGGGTCTTGCAGCGACAGAAAACAATAACAAGCAGGCTCTTGCTGCAACTCGGGTAAACAGTGAAATGCAGCTATCCTTACATGATGAAACACATCCACTTGAACATAGCAAATTGGTTTCTGGATGTGTCTCGTTGTTTTGTATTAAAATCTGAACAGGTCCAAAAGTCCAACATATGGGAATACAGTGACGCAGCATGCCAGGTCATTATATTTCCTGCCTGGTGAGTACATGTACAAGAAAAAAACGCTCAATGAATAGCAATATCCTTTTCAACTAAGAAAACAGTTGGAAAGTTAAATGATATACGTCCCAGTTTCAAAATTTTACCATTTACTATCATTTACTATTTGCCTCAAAGTTTGCTTTCAACTTACCACTCGATTTACAAAGCTATAACATCTACTTTACTGTTTTTCATACAATGGCAAAGGTACAAAGTTCCCTCAAGCTTTCCCATGTGGTGATGAGCAATTTTGGGTAGCGTCTAGCGCTCCGGGATTTGCAGATTCTCAGCAGGAGTTCGAAACTTATTGTTTTGGTATTGTTAAGATATTCACCTTGCAAAGGGGAGGCGCTGCCCGCCCTCCCGCCTGCAATAAAGGGAGCATTCTGGACCTTGCAGCAACCCCCTGTATTCTCTTAACAGTGCATCGGGTGGCAAAGTAATGTTGGGTTGACCTTCGCCAAGAAACATATACGGAAACAGACTTACCAAAGAAATAAACAATATGTGGGGTGATCCAAAATAGACAAATAAAAAAATAGAAAAACATAGAAAAAAACTGAGCTGCATTTAAGCAAATCACCTTTGCCAGGATGGGGCCGAATCGGCCCTATCCTGGCAAAGGTCGCGGGAGGGCGGGCAGCGCCTCCCCTTTGCAAGGTGAACATCTTAACAATACCAAAACAATAAGTTTCGAACTCCTGCTGAGAATCTGCAAATCCCGGAGCGCTAGCTGCTACGCAAAATTGCTCATCACCACATGGGAAAGCTTGAGGGAACTTTGTACCTTTGCCATTGTATGAAAAACAGTAAAGTAGATGTTGTAGGTTAGTAATCGAGTGGTAAGTTGAAAGCAAACTTTGAGGCAAATAGTAAATGATAGTAAATGGTAAAGTTTTGAAACTGGAAAGTAGCAGTATAGCACATAGTTTACTTACCCATTGTTTCTCAGCCATGAAGCCCACGTTACACCTCAGAAAACATCAGCGAAGCAAGGGGGCCATCCGTCAGTCTGATGGGGAGGGATCCATTTTAGGGTAAAACCATTAATTTATTTGTCAATCATCCGACGTCAACTTTAAACCAACAGCTTGGTGTCATTTGAAACCACGTTTTCCGATAGCAACGATTTGACGACGATCAAGAATCAATAATTTATGGCTAGACTACCATTTACACAAGCCAGGAATTCAATTGGACCCAATTACAATTTGGGGGGAACACAAATTTCTTTGTTGGGGCAGTGGTATGGTTTCAATGCTCCATTTTACTATCATCCATTCACACTGTGGCCACGGACTGGACACATTGAATGAAGTCAGCGGGCCAACTGACATCACAACGGTTGTTCTGATTAGAGATGTTTGGCTTGGGTTCTAATATGTTTTCAGCCCCTTTTCACCAGGTCAGCCAACACATGCCCTAAACCATGCAAAGTATGAAAAGAGGGACAAAGATAGATTTCCAACCTCCTGTTAATTCCTAAGTTTGCTAACAAGCTACATTGTTGTCTGTATCGGCTCGGTTTATTTGATAATGTCAATCTTTATTGCTTGCTCAAACTAAAACAAAAACAACGGCTCACCCAAAAGACATAACACATAAACGACATCCAATCTACTGTGCATGTTCTCAGCGTTTCACAATACAACCAAAAAACGGGGTCTCGCAGCGAAGGAAAACAAACAACAAGCATGCTCTTGCTGAAATTCAGGTATAAAAAAATCTGTTCAACATTGAAATGCAGCGATCTTGACATGGTGAAACACATGCAATTGAACATAGGATAGGTGTCTGGTTGTTTTGTCTTCAAATCTGAACATCTCAAAACATCGAAGGGAATACACTGACCCAGCATGCCACTTAACTATATATCCTCCTTGACGATAGTAACGATAGTAGAAATATGAAGGAGAAAAGATACGTAATTACAAACAAACATCTTCAAGAAAAAACAAAACAAACTCAGTGACTATTCGACTGTGTTAAAAGTAGGCCAGCATCATTATTATTATTAACATAGTATACCACCAACTAGCTATGGTAACCAACAAACATTTCACTGGGGGATTAGCACCTGGCAGCTCCCAGGCTCCACGCCACCTGCAACATGGCGGACTACGTCCTGGGCATCGGCGCGCAGGGCCGGGAGCCGAGCGAATGGTCCAAGTTGGTCGCCTGGCCGAGCGATGGGGAGATGGGGAGATGGGGAGATGGGGATTTTCATGGGAATTTCTATGGATTTCTATAGATTTCCATCGATTTCTATGGAATTTCTATGGAATTTTTATGGATTTCTATGGAAATTTTATGGATTTCTATGGAATTTTGATGGGTTTCTATGGAATTTTTATGGATTTCTATGGAATTTTGATGGGTTTCTATGGAATTTCAAGGGAAGAACTCCAGAATCCCAGTGAAAATATGTGAAAATGATTGGACATGCTGATTTTAGGCTCATTTCAATTTTCAATGGGCTTTTCTTGGCGTTCTGTTGGTGAACGGAACTCCAATGACGATGGGGTTATGGCAATGACAACTGATGTGGTTATTTTCATGAGGTGAAACTGAACCACCATAACTGGGGGTCTGCATTTTGTGGGAATAGAACGGAATGGCCACGTTTGGTCTGCTACCAATTGGCTCAGTTGGAAGTAGTTGGATGGGTGGCGGCACCAAGAAACACAACTGGAGGGGCACCAGATTGTGATTTGCCATGAGCCGAAATTGCTGGCTTTTATATGGTTTTATGATCTAATTGGATGGTTAAAATTGAATCTTTCTGCGGAGAATTGAAATCTAAAGGCACAGTTCACCCCATTGCTGGGTTGATGGTCTTTTTTTTTTGTTTCATCTTACGGGGATTGGATTGTAGTAGAATAAACTACAGCTGTAGCATGTTGTTTTACGAGATATTTGTCTTTGGCAACGATGTCATTCTAGTAAGCCTAGTTTCGTTGAGGCCATACCATGCCTTTCGTATCGTAAATCCTGAATATTTGGGCGTTTTAGGACCATGGTTGTTGATTTGTTTCCCCAAATCCAGTCCATAGACAGATTATGAAGATTATGATATCCTCTGACATCCCATTATATTCGAATAATTATGTTGGTGGCTTAGTCACCATTATCATTTTATGTATATAATAGATAGTTATACCATTTTTAACAAAGATTAAGTTGTCACATAAATAGGTATCCCATCTTGATATCTATAGTAATATTGTCTTAGGATTAAACATCCCAGATGACCGGTGGAATTGTCACATTTTTACCTTTGAAATCATCGAATAAATGAGAAATGAGCCATGAAGGTGGTGATGGCCCGACAAATCAGGTTTAGAACATATTGTGTATATATGATGCACAAGCAGATGGTACAGCAATTATATCAGAATCTGGTTGGTGGTTTAGAACATTTTTTATTTTTCCATATATTGGGAATGTCATCATCCCAACTGACCAACTCATATTTTTCAGAGGGGTAGGTATACCACCAATTAGAGAATTCTTTTGAGGAATCCTCGTGTGTCCATGTGTTTATTGTCGGTTAAACATCACGAACGACCTGACCTGTTGGTGCACAGATCCTGGGGGCAGATCGTGAGCTGATCGGCCCTGGAAGTTTGGATGGTGAGATGATATGGTTTTTGTTGAATGATATAGGATGGTTTATATAGATAGGTATAGATGGGTTTATATAGATGATATAGATTGTTTATATAGGTGGTATTGATGTTTCATATAGATGGTATATATGGTTTGTATAGATGGTATGGATGGTTTATATAGATGGCATAGGATGGTTTATATAGATGGTATAGATGGTTTATATAGATGGTATAGATGGTTTATATAGATGGTATAGATGGTTTATATAAATGGTATAGATGGTTTATATAGATGGTATAGATGGTTTATATAGATGGTATACATGGTTTATATAGATGGTATAGATGGTTTATATACATGGTATAGGATTGTTTATATAGATGGTATAGATGGTTTATATAGATGGTATAGATGGTGTATATAGATGGTATAGATGGTTTATATAGATGGTATAGATGGTTTATATAGATGGTATAGATGGTTTATATAGATGGTATAGATGGTTTATATACATGGTATAGATGGTTTATATAGATGGTATAGATGGTTTTTTTATAGATGGTATAGATGGTTTATATAGATGGTATAGGATGGTTTATATAGATGGTATAGATGGTTTATATAGATGGTATAGATGGTTTATATAGATGGTATAGATGGTTTATATAGATGGTATAGATGGTTTATATAGATGGTATACATGGTTTATATAGATGGTATAGATGGTTTATATACATGGTATAGGATTGTTTATATATAGATGGTATAGATGGTTTATATAGATGGTATAGGATGGTTGATATTGATGGTATAGATGGTTTATATAGATGGTATAGATGGTTTTTATACATGGTATAGGATGGTTGGTATAGGATGGTTTATATATAGATAGTATAGATGGTTTTTATAGATGGTTTATAGATGGTTTTGAATGATAGTACGCCGATTTGTGTCCTGGTACCCTATTGTGAGTTTTTTGTTCCATACTACTTGAGTATCCTGGCGTTTGTTGGGGATGGGGCTCTATTGTGAGAAGTTTTTACTCAGATCCATTTTTTTCAGGAGGAGCTTTATCCACCTTTATACCCCTTTCTCTGGGTAAAGCTGGTCTAGTTACTTTAGAAAGCCATATCCATGTTAAAGCCTTGAAAGCACAAGGTTTCCCAATAACATCCCAATAATTAGATGCCTTTTTAGACAATTTTTCAAGGGTGTACCCCATGAGTGACCGAGATCCTCAATAATTTTATGGTACCCTATTGTGCACAAAAACTTTTCGGGTGATTTGTTTTTAGATTTAAAAGGATAATCAATTGAATGTAGATTCAGATGAATTGAAAGTAAATTGATTTCAATTGAAATCATTTCTTATCAATAGATTTCTTTGAGGGTTCAAAAGGAAAATCAACTGAAAGTAGATTGATTTCAATTGAAATCCTTACTTAAGTTGATCATCCTGAATTCCCCAGACCTGGTCCCCCCAAAAATGCCGAGTTAATGAGTAGACCAAAATTGTCTGAGGGGGGGGCGTACACCAATGAGCATCCAAAATTAGATGGTTTACTGCTCATGAATTGTCCCAATTCGAACTACTTTACTGGTTGGTGGTTTGGAACATGTTTTATTTTTCCATATATTGGGAATAATCATCCCAACTGACTGATATTTTTCAGAGGGGTAGGTATACCACCAATCAGCTTTTCATTGATAGTCTGAGGGTTTTTCAATCATGTTCTCATCGGCATGAGAAGTTTAATATATCACACAGCCAGTGGACCATCATAATAATGGATGGCAACCATGGCCATGCAGGGTCGCACAAGGCATGTTCCAATTCGTAGGAACTGATTGTTTCTTAAATCAGGAAACCAATGGTTTTCTTGGAATGTCATAAAGTGGACTAGAAACACTGAATTTACGCTTTTCACACGTATTTGATTCCAACATTTTGTTACTTTACCTTTTACTGGCAAAATGAGGGTCTAGGTATATAATATACCCATCTTGCAGTTCATAGATCAGCAGAACATCTCGTAGAACATCAGTGGCTATTTCGACGATGGAAATCTTGCAGAATCACTGGGTAAATCATCAATGGCCGAAGGTGGCCGAACATGGCTTTGGTTTGGTATATTCTAATTTCTAGTTTCTATATATATATAAATAAAATCATACATATTAAACTATATTTAAATATATATATATATATATAATATTGTAATATGTATTTATAATATTGTAATATGTATGTATAATATATATATATAACATATATATATATTATAATATTTGTAAATATTATATATATAACATTCCCCTCGTAAATCCCCATAAACCACCTCAACCCGGGTACCGCTTTTTGGGGTGTTTTTATAAGGTACCCACTCTTTTAGGGGGGTCAAACATGTTTATAAACCAGAGCGTTCTCCGTTTTGAACAAGTTGGATGCGATGTAAACAAAAAAAAAACATGCCACTATAAAGGTTCCGGTTTGGCTGAACGCTACACCAGAATTGCCATTTAATAACCTTAACACAAATGAAAATTCATAAGGATTGTAGATTGAAATTGCCATTTTATCAGGAGGGGCATCATTTTATAAAGATGTTTTTTTTTTTTTAACGGATGGTCCCCGGGTTCCGGGTCGAATTATAAGGGGGGTTAAGGTTAACTATTTCTATTACCCTCTGCATAACTACGGAAAATCACAATTTTTTAATCAACTATAAATGGTCATGTTCAATAGCAAACTGTTAGTTCAGCAGAGGGTAGCCCCAAATTGTTGCCTCCAATTCTATTCCCATTCAAACTCCATGGGATTTTTGGCGCGTGCCGGACAGTACACCGCTGAGGAGCGGGCGGTGCATCGGGGACAAAGCGGCCTGGTAAAGAAGTTTCTGAAGGACGCCTCGGGCTGATGGTACCAGGGCGCAACTTGAAACATAGCAGGGATCATCAAAAAGGGGATTCCTGAAGTAGGGGGACCCCAAAAAGACATCCATGAGGATTGTCCATGAAATAAACCATCCAGCTATTGGGGTACCCACATCTTAGGAAACCTCTATATGGGAATGAATGCGTCCTTGCTCAAAGAGCTACAATGAAGGAGAACAAACATTGTTTTATAGGCTTGCTGCCTCGACCCGGGGATTGCAATCAACAAACATGCTGGATTTGATGTCAGCATGAAATGGGCTACTAGCCACTGATGATATCTTCTTGGACTCTTCCAGTGCTTCCTTTGTCTCTTATACACTCCAAGTCGGAAAAAATGTAGAGATGACACATATTTTCCAGCCATGACTCAGCGAAGTTTTAGACATACAACACTCATGTTTGGACCATAGAATCGGTTCAGCGACACCACTTTGTAGTTGTCCCATGGAAAGCAGGCCCCTGAGCGAGCAAGTGCCTCACACGTTCATCAGACTTCAGGTCTCCCTGCCAAGTGGCCGGTGTGAAACTGTCGTGGTCTCGCAGTTTGGCACCGTTGCTGATTTGAAACTAGCTGCACAACGGTCTTTCGGGCAAGGTTTCCTGAGGCTTGCTGCGTCTGACGGGTGTCTTTTAGATCTAGCAGACTCTCTTGAACTTTGCGGGTTTCAAAATGGAGACAGCCTTACTGCTGTTGCACTGCAGCCAAAGGTAGCTGCAACATGGAGTGCGTTTGCTTTGTGGTGTCTCGGAGGTGATAGAGTTATCGCGTGAGGCGATCCAGATCGTGGTGGGGACAGCTCCAGTCCAGAGTCCAGGATCAGCTGAGGAATGTGCAGCAGATTTGTGGAACAGACTTTGCTTTTGCTGCGATTTTGGCAGATGGAAGCGTGGTGACATGGGGCCATCGAAACCAAGGTGGTGACAGCTCCAGAGTCCAAGATCAGCTCAGGAATGTGCAACAGATTTGTGGAACAGACGTTGCTTTTGCTGCAATTTTGGCAGATGGCAGTGTGGTGACCTGGGGCCATCGAAACCAAGGTGGTGACAGCTCCAGAGTCCAAGATCAACTGAGGAATGTGCAACAGATTTGTGGAACAGACTTTGCTTTTGCTGCAATTTTGGCAGATGGCAGTGTGGTGACCTGGGGCGATCCAAATCGTGGTGGTGACAGCTCCAGAGTACAACATCAGCTCAGGAATGTCCAGCACATTTGTGGCAGGGCCCGTGCTTTTGCCGCAATTTTGGCAGATGGCAGTGTGGTGACCTGGGGCGATCCAGACTGTGGTGGGGACAGCTCTGGAGTCCAAGATCAACTGAGGAATGTGCAACAGATTTGTGGAACAGACTTTGCTTTTGCTGCAATTTTGGCAGATGGCAGTGTGGTGACCTGGGGCCATCCAAATCGTGGTGGTGACAGCTCCAGAGTCCAAGATCAGCTCAGGAATGTGCAACAGATTTGTGGAACAGACGTTGCTTATGCTGCAATTTTGGCAGATGGCAGTGTGGTGACCT